AATTATTTTAAAAAGTGTCTGTGAATAAAATAATTTCGGGCGGAAGTACGTCATGCAAGCTGCGTGGTTTCAGTTATAGCGTCAATAGCAACCAGCATAGCAACTAAATGCAAGAAAAACTAAATGTAATGTACATTAACTGAACTAAGAATGTGAAAATAAAATTTAAGCAGTCAATTGGAGGAAGAAGAGAAGAACCTACTGTACTGTTATGTAAGAAGAACCTACTGTATTGGAGGTGGCACACTGTCTGGTGGATTATGACTGTAAAACTATTCTGTCATTTATTAAGTAAATTACGGCTACTTTTCTTTTTATTTAATTTATGTGTGCTGTGAATAGGTGCTATGACAATGGTTGAAAACATGGCTATAACTCATTATGAGAAAGGTGTATTGTAGAGTCAATACACATGTATGTTCCCTTTTAGTTTTACAAACTTATAGTTGATTCAGAGGATTCAAGATTCCATACTTTATTGTCATTTCAACTCAGTTGAAGGGGATTTGGTTTGGTGAGCTCACTAAAAAGAAAACAAAGCTCTCACACATAACCACATTTGTACATTACAATAAATAAGTAATATCACAATATGGTAAACACACAATTTTGTACTCATATACTAGTGGCAATATGTGCTTAAATATAGTACCTAAGCTTTAAAATAGATCAGACCTATTAAAACAACACGTCTTTGTGAACTTTGTAAATACAGGCCCTGTCCTGTCATACCAGTGATTACATTCCTAGTTATCATGGTCATCCTCAGTGTCATCCTCATTATCACCATCATCATTGTATACTAGTGTCTGTATGCTTGACATGGGGAGGGCCTGACACAAGTAGGAGTTGTCTACAGGAACAATGTCTGGTACATGTGGGTGAAACATCACAGTGGCTTGATATCGTTTTCTTTCCAGCTGATGGAGACGTTGGGTGAGCGCAGCTTTTGCACCAGGCTGATCTGTGTCTTTGATGGCAGAGCACAGAAAGGCATGCTGCTGATGGAGGTGTTCAATTACAGTTCTCATTTCCTGATAAAGCATGCGCTTTTCCTCAGCTGCCCGAGTCTTCATATGTAAGGCATCAATCCCTCGCCTTTTTAGAGTCCTCGAAACATTATCTTCTTCAATCTGAAAGATAAGATAAATAAAAAACGCTATACCATGTTACCAGGTGGTTTCAAAAATGATGGGCAGGTAGTTGTGGTTGGTGAGCGGTTGTCAGATTGTTTCTTGAGTGACTGCTGTGTGGTTACTAGGGTTAGGTAATTATACTTACAGTGTCATCAAAGCAGAAGTAGACTTGCCAAGAGGGATCACATGCTTCCTGAAAATCAATTATTGTAGGGAAGATGCTCATCTGTGGTGGCCACTGAATGCAGTTGTATTCTTTTATTGCCTGTCTCAGTCTCTTGTTGGAGCTGGCAATCTGCTTGGAAAGTCTAATGGCAATGCCCTGCCCATCTGTAGCAAAGATAGGAAACACGCATGCAGATAAATTCATTTATTAGTGTGTGTTATGGTCCTTTTCAAAGTTGAACTTAATATCTTAATGTAGCCCATCTACGTATCCACAGCACTTTACCTGGATATTTTCTTTTCAGATGGAGGAGGACTGTTCTCTCCCTTGATTCGGTTCTAGCTTTGAAGATTAGTTGTCCTCTGAGCTCACAGTCAACATCTTTAAGGGTAGACTGGAAGTCTGAGTCAGATTCTTGCCATCTTCTCCCAATCCGGTGTTTTTTCTCTATGTTCAGCAGAGAGTCCTCAATTCTACAATGGTCAGAAAAGAAATATTATTAATAGTTATTTACACACTTGCTCAGAGAACAGTGACAGATTACTGCTTACTCTGTTTCACACTCCATGTACGACTCACGAGTCCCAGATCTATACATAAAAATAAAAAACACAGCACAAAAATTCATTAGGTACCAAGCAGAAAGCATTTCTGTGGTTCACCCCAGACCAAAGAGTGCATACGTTATTAGGGAGGCCTTGGTGATAATTGATTACTAATCACAACATATTCAATTACTGCAGTATTATAGCAACTCTTAATTTATAACCATTGTAACGGTTTCCTTCAAAGCTATGCTGTTACTGTAATCACACCTACTTCCATGCTGAAGCACATCAGCAGGGCACTGAAAGACAGCTGTAATTACCATATAGTTTTACATAAACACATTAAACTCTTACTTGAACTTGTAGAACTGAATCAGCTGGATGATGTAGTCCCTTTTCCATTTACAGACAGTGTCTGGAGAACAGATAAAGACATTACTACTGCTCTAATACATTGTTTCATTTCATGTAACTTCACATAGCTTGCAGGATTGTATTTCATTACTGTACACGGAAAGGTAAGTATAACATATTTGCAATACTCTTTGCTAATAATTTGCATGACCTTCATACAGTGTTCAAGACATTCACCCATTCACTTCAGTTGCTTACTTATTGGTCTCTGTTTCTGATGGGCTAGCTCCATCTCTCTTTTCTTCCATTTCTCCATGTCTCCCTCAGAAACCAACACTAGACAACAAAAATAACAGAAAACAAGACATCAATACTACATACTCCATGCAAAATGCGCTTGTAAACAGAATCTAAAATTCTCCGGTTTACAACTATTGTTTCCTGCTTCTTATGTGCATTGTTTACCTGGTGCGTCTCTGATGACAGATGAGATGTCTTCTTGAGCGAGAATTGATATTTTCTCTGCTCTGTCTAGTCTTTGCAGGAGCTGCATCTCTGCAAACACAGTTTAATTTACTTATGCTGACCAATTTGTGAGTGATCAGCTTCACTCCAGAAAATATAAAATGTATAAACAGTGAACCACCAGCACAGAATTTTGACAGGTTATGCTGCTGTGGACAAACCTAGGTCAGTTGATTTCCTCCGTCCATAATGCAAAAGGGCATCAGTCAACAGATCGAGGCGGTGAGATGGAGTCATCTCCTTTGTGACTCTGGCAAATCTTCGGAGAAAAGACCACAGCCTTTCCATTCCTTCCCCGTCTGTGAGTCCAAACCCATCGAGCCGCCTAGTGCTGTACTTGATCTGTGATTAAAGCAAAGTGGTAGAATAGATGCTGACACTGAGCATGATCGTACTTCAGTGTAAACTGCTTATAGTGATCACGGTTACAGTGATCAACCACTTATATGGATTCAAAAGCTTGGGACAGAATCATTGCTGTAGAAATGCTGTGTAAATAATTTGTTTATAGTAATCAAGTAGTCCGCTTAGTGTGTTTCATATTGTGTGTTGCTGTGCAAATGTGATGTTTTCCTCTACTCACACTGCTGTGGTCTATGGAGTTATTTTGCCCTCCTGTTCCTGCTCTGCTGTTTTTTTGGGACTTTTATGGTACATAATGATTGTCCTGGCTCTCTCACAGCAGCAGCTAGGCCTACTGCATGTTACTTGAGTGGAGTGTAATGCTTTCACCTTGACCATTCAGACAGGGCTTGGATCAGGAGAGGGCCTAGGTGTAGCTTATTTTATTTTATCTTTAAAGGAACCCTCCACCGTTTTTTCATATTAAACAATGTAATTTCCTTAACTAAGACGAGTTGATACATACCTCTCTCGTCTCAGTGCGTACGCTCAATCGCGCGGCGATACTTTGAGTCCAGTTCATTCATTAGGATCCAAACAGAGATGAAGTTAGAAACGACCAAACACCTCCACGTTTTCCCTATTTAAATATAGTTACACGAGTAGTTACACGACCAAGTATGGTGAGACAAAATAAAACGTGGCGTGGTGTTTTTTGTCGCTTTTAACTTCATCTCTGTTTGGATCCTAATGAATGAACTGGACACTCAAAGTATCGCCGCGCACCAGAGCAATTGAGCGCACGCACTGAGATGAGAGAGGTATGTATGTATCCACTTTTCCTTTAAGTCAGAAAAAATAGTGAAGCTGTTCATGTTATTACTTTATATGCATGTAATAATTATACAAATTAGATAGTAATCTGCATAAAACATAAAAACAAATTTGGTTATAACAATCATCCGCTTATAGTGATTTGGCCCAGACAGATGTGAGATAAGCGGTTTCCACTGTATTGTCCAACAGTGCATCTCTGAAACAAGTTTAGACAAACACCAGTTGGGAAAAATGCCAGATTAAAGATTACTTTTAGGCACATCTACTTAATTTCAGCTGTGCAGTTTATAGACAGGAAAATTGAGGGCAAACAGGGAGTGAATGATGTGTGACACAGGTCCTGATGTCTCTATAAAGCCAATAATTACCTGGCAGGGCAGTTTGTGTCCATAAACATGAAATGCTGGTATGGCCAAGGAGATGTTGTGTGGTATGCCCTCTCCTGATTTCTGATTGAACACAGTATAGCATAATTTTAAGTAAATGTGTCAAGGTCTTTTCTCAAAACAACAATTCAGTTTTACACAAAAAAGTACTTACATGCAAATGTGAGGCAACAACACAGGCAATGTCATAGACTACTCGCAGGTGTATGTTCTTGTCCTCACATCTTCGAAGTAGCTCATCGATGACATACAGGGGATAGGCTAATCTATTTCAACACAAATTTGAATAAGGACACTTTATACTGAGGAAAAGTAAAAATGAATTATACATTCTCCAGCATAGTGAAGATTATAGAATGGTGGTAAAGTTCAAATTTTGTAATGTTTTGGAATATACATTCCATAAGGTTCATATTTGGTGACTGGAAAAATTTGCATTAAAATATGGCTTATTATATGAATAGGTAGAATCAAACAGGGGAATTATCATTCTGGAACACAGGGTCAATAGTCAGAGATGTCATTACTGTGGCATTTACTTACCGTTCTCCTTGGCTCATGTTGACAAACATTAGGGGCATTTCATGACGACAAGAGGCTCCAAACACTCCTGTAACATCAAGTTTATTTGCTTGTTTTTGTGACCTCAGCACGTTGCCAGCCTTGAAGTTACTGCAGTCCTAAAGATTTAAGGAAAACATAGATTTATGGGAGGAATAATGATTAATTAAATATTTCATTAATATTTCATGGACTCAGTCCATGAAATTCTACAACTAAGACTAACCTCGTGAGGCTTTGAGCTGTCAAGATGTGATAGCAGGTATTCCTCTACATCCTTTTCATTAACAAACATGCGGGTTCCGTGTAATGGCTCAACCGCACTTGTACCTGAGCTGTGCTTCCTCACAAGGCCAAAGTTGGCATCCAATGTAACAATCATATCCCCATCCGCCTGGAAAACAAACACTTACAGTAATCCTGTATCTGCATCAGGTTTATACATTTATACGAATACAATTTTATTATATTTTTATACTTACAAAAATTGGTACTTTCCTGTTATCCGGACCCCATGATGGCCTACCCCTAACCCCGCCCCTAAACCTACCCGTCACTGGGGTTAAGACCAATCAGGGACGATGGCCTACCCCTAACCCCGCCCCTAAACCTACCCGTCACTAGGGTTAAGACCAATCAGGGATGACTATACGGACTATACGGGACTAATGCTGCATTCCAGGCAACCTGTAACCCGTGTTTTTCCAACCTTATACCCGTGAAAGTGTACTGGAACGGCAGTCAAACCCGTGAACTCGTACTAGATCGATGTACTACCAGTTACGAGTTGGAAAAATACGGGTTACAGGTTGCCTGGAACGCGGCATTAAAGAAACACGTGGGGTCCGGATAACAGGAAAGTACCCAAAAATTAACTAAGTTTTCAGATATCAATTCAATGCCATTAGGTCATCGAAAATGCAATCAGGTTAATCGAACAAGAACCACGCTGGAGCTAGAACCAACCTTTGGGCATGCTGGGCATATGGTCCCATCATCTAATTGTGGGCAAATATCTACCAAACTTCTTTGTCGGAAGTGGTGATGCCTAAAATGGGATATGGATTCTCCCACCAGGGCTCTGTAGAGTGTGTTAACCTAGGGTATAAGCAGCAGTCAGTGAAAACATTACTGTTTCCTATACTTACATCTGGTGATGGTGGTTCACTCAGAAGTTGTTATTTTGATAGAAAACTTTTAAGAATACTTTTGCATGCAAATGTACAATACTATATGGTTACATACTTTAAGTTGTGATAATTAATAATGCAGTACAATCAAGGAAGAATGTGTAATTTTCACAACCATATGGAATCGGTCTTCCATGAAAGTACAGTAATGGCGCTTTTCCACTACACACAGGACAATGGAGGAAAATCGAGTGTGTGCTGTTTTTGGATGTTTTTATTTTTGCTGTTTTTTATTCAGGAAACTCCCGTCTGGCACGTGCAATAATGACGCAGTGAATGGTGACGATTCTCTCTGACCAATCAGCAGTCTGCCACGTCACATTTTAGTATCACCTCAGCTCGCTTAGAACCTCGCCGGAGGTGGTACGAAAAAAAGTACCCGAAAGCAGGTACAGGTACAACTTTGACACAGTGGAAAACCAAACAAAGCCGAGCCGAGTCGAGTCGAGCTGAGGCGAGCTGGTACTGTGTAGTGGAAAAGCGCCATAACTGAAATTTTCACTTCACAGGCAAGACTTTAAACTGACCTCTGCAAGTGTGAGGTTGTTTTTCCAGCGCAGGGTGTTGCAAAAACCCTCAACAGAAACCTGACACTCCAGTGACAGACAAACAAAAAGCTCTAGCAGAGGTATGGAGAAGGCTGTGTGGGGCTTGTCGGCTGTTGCCGGCCAGAGACCATACCTGAGCAAAGTACAGGTTTCTGGTTCACATGCACACATATTGACTGTGACGGTGCAGAGCCGTCCTGCCAAATAAAAAGAGGGAAATATATATATTAGAAAAAACATAAACAAGTACTACTATAGAGACTACCATATCAGCATAGACTAAATCACTTGAGTGTGTCACCTATAACACCATAAATCAGCAAACAACTTTTTTTTAACAAAATTGTATCAGAAATTTGATTAATTCCTTATAGGAAATCATTACTACACATGTATAGGACCGAATTCCTTAACCTGTCAAGAAAATTAAATACATTAAGATTCTGTATCATGTAAAATGACAAACCTGTGCTGACAATGACCTTCATGTCCTTTGTGTACACAGCATGGGTGCTATGGCCTTCAGGTAAATATAGGAATAACCCCAGGGAGGATGGCTCATAGTAGACATTCTGTAAGAAAGATTGATAGCTCTAACAATCTTTTTAAAACTACAAACTTGTGACACTAACGGTTGATAATACATAATGCTAGAACAATTTGAAGTATCTAATAAATCTGTTGAAATTACTGTAAGTTTGTTGCCTGTGTGTATGACTGCATGGTATTGTTCTTACATTCCACTTATCAGAAAGATGCAGTGAATTTCTGTGAGTCCTCTTCAGACAACCCTCACAAAACACTGCAGTGCTGCTGCACTCAATGCACCTGTAATCAGCATGTTCTAGACAGACAACACACTGGGTAGCGATTGGTGCTGAACATTCAAATGACACCTTAAGCATGTCATCCTTGACTGCATCCCAGGCATGTAGCTCTCTCTTCTTTGCCTTACTGTATGCACTCTCAGAACAAGAACTACAGCTCGGTGCCACATCATCGGGTTCAGCCTGTTGAGATGTAATAGTCGGGTCGGTCTGTTTGGAGTTGGGCTGGGGAAGACCTTGACTAAGGTAAGAAACCTTTGCAGGGCCAACGATACACCTCCTCACCACCTTAATCTTCACGCTCCTGGAACGTGTGGTCTTAATTGTTTTTCCCATATCTGAAATCAAAATATTTGGCAATTATTACATAAAGCAAAGTGCAACCTGTACTTCTTATCACAGCCTAAAAGACAGAAACACATCAGTGAACATGGGATGCAGACAAGGGATATGTATTTGGTGCCATAGATATGTCAATAAAAGTAAGGTTAGGCCTATGGCTTCACTGAAGCGTTAACGAGCATACAATATTATGCAATAAGCCTTACAGTGTGGAAAAAGTAATTTTTACAGGCTAACTTTGCGTTTAACTAGAAACTAAATTTCCCCATTAGCTTCATACGTAAAAACATACTTATTAGCAACGTTAATGCTCAAATAAAGCAAGTAAGTAACGTAATGTTGGGCTAATAACGTAACGTAATAGGGCCTAACGTTAGCCTATATAACGTTAGCCAAAATAATCGCAATACGCTTATCTCATGTCAACACTCATGTCACGCAACATTAAAACACATTTTATGTATTGTTTTCCCTTATTGACTAATTAATTTCGGTTTAAATGCTCGGTTTTATCATTTAAATGTTCTTACCTGAAAATATCAAGCGCGAAATATTGCGACGTCGCTGCGTCATTCAGTAGACCTCCGATTACCGGCGAGCTGGATTCCTCTGGTATTGGATCTGGAGTCTTCTCTTGTATTTGTCGGTGATTAACCATGTGGATGGATGATAACAGCCTTCTGAGCCTACCAGTAGGCGCAGCAGGCCCCTGCTGGCCCTTATATATGAGCTGATAACCACTGATAACGCCCATTCAATCGAGTGATAACATTCGAAACGGGTGGAACTTGTGGGTGTTACTAATCTTTATTAATAAAAAGGGAAACACAAAATTCAGGTGATGATTCCAAATATAACAGACTATAATGCAGTAAAGCTCTCAGGCACTCTGTGTTGCTTTTAGATATATGCTATCTTTTCTCCTGTCCTGTCATTTTACAACACAAGGCTGCTGTATAATGAAACAAAAGCTTGTAGTCCCTTCATGCTGCACACACAGAACTTGAATACACATTAAATGTACATTAAAATATTTTCTCATGTCTTTGTCTTTGTTTGGGGAAGTAACCTATGGCTGTGGAAAGAATTTTTGTTTCGTTTATCCACCTCCTCCTCCCAACCAGTAGTACCTACAGTCGGTTCTGAAGGGGCCAAGTCAGCAGAGCAACATCGCAGGCTTATGCACAGCAGAGTATAGAGCAGGTAGACTTAAAAGATAGTATTAATTCTCATAAATGATGACGTTGTTCTCATAAAATTACGACTTTTATTCTGGGCCTGTCAGAGAACACAGATATGTGCAGAAATTTTCTGAAACACGCGAGCTAAAGTGCAGGAGTTTTGGTTATCAAATGGCAAGTTTGAAATATGTTTTAATGATAATAAAACATTTATTTATCATGTAAATATATGTACAACGTTTTGTTATTTATAAAAGACAGTAATAAAGTGTGTCTAACTTGATCCCATTTAATGGTTGACCATAGACTTTGCATGGGCCCCCCCTAGGCCTTGGGCCGGGGTCATCTGTACCCTTTGACCCCCTGTGACAGCGGGCCTGAGAGCATACCACGTGCCTCTTTTCCGAGCATTTTGTTTGTTGCTGTTTGATGTGTTGTAGGAATATTTGTTTCGCCTCGTGATAGAGTAGATTACAAGATATCAATGTCCAAAGAAATTCCATTTCGGCATTTCCTTTATTTTTCCATGTTGTCCACATTGTCCGAGTGGCACCCGCAGAAGCCAACAGCAAAGCAGCAGCTTTATTTTTTTTTTTTAATAAAGCTTTATTTATTTATTTTCTTTAATAAAGCTGCCCAAAATAACAACGCAATTCTCTTTCCCAAGCTGCAGCTTATAAACCGTGTTGGTGTTTAGAAGTAGGCTAATAAATAGTGGGATGTTTTGAAATGTTTTTTTGAATGAAAATAAATCACAAATTTTAGAACTTGAACTTCTTCACTGCATTTGCAGGAATATTTTAATGGGCTACTTTAAAAAATAAACTCATCAAGGTGCCTAGTCTGATGCAATAGACAGTCCATTTTTACTCTGATAGCCATCTTGATCTTTCATCATGAGGACACACAGGGGCTGTGATCCTGCACAACAAAACATCCCCACGCTACCATGGATACTAGTGGTGAAATCCCTGGTATGGATCCCTTTCACACGGTCCGGATTGATTACAAAGTTTATGATGATTTATCCTGTTTGACCTCTCAAAATATCCTTTATTCTGGAAATGTCAGAGAACCCAGCTAGATTCTGAATGTGCAGAACTTTGAACATGTGCAGAAAACCTGCTGAAACACAGGAGCTATTAAAGTCCAGGAGTTTCTAACTGAATTAAAATGATTTTATTTATTATTGATGAGGTAAAATGGTGCCACATGCACATTTAAAGAGTTTACCTCAATCAGTCACGTCTGCGTGTGTGTTGATTCAGCAGTGATGATATTAAAAGTTGATCTACAGGAGAAACATATCTGAAAGCTGAGAGCTGCTCTGCATTATGTTCTGTTACAGTTTTAGATTTTAAATTGTTTTATTATACCTTTATTAAACCAGAAAATGAGTAAAGGCCATCTTCTATTATCTCTCCAGACTCTGTCAGGCTGCTGGACGGGACTAGTCTGTGCTCAGGCAGACTGGAGGTGAAGTCTAACCAGTCTAACCAGTCTAACCAGTGGTGGTCCTCAGTGTGTGAAGCTGACTTTGACCAGCAGGATGCAGAGGTGGTCTGTAGGGAGCTCGGCTGTGGGGCTCCTTCAGTCCTCCAGGGGGCGCTCTATGGAGAAGTGGAGGCTCCGATGTGGACCAAAGAGTTCCAGTGTGGAGGCCATGAGTCTGCTCTCCTGGACTGTAGAAGCTCAGGCTCAGCTAGAAACACCTGCTCACCTGGAAAAGCTGTTGGGCTCACCTGCTCAGGTAGAAGAGGAGCTGCAGCTTTGATTTGGTTCATTTCTGTTCTGATGAAACTCACTTTATTGTTTTACTGATGACTCTCTGGTTTCTGTTCAGAGCCTGATGATGTCAGGTTGGTGGGAGGAGCCAGTCGCTGTGCAGGAACACTGGAGCTGAAACATCAGGGAGAATGGAGACCAGTGAGTTACTATTTCTCTGTCTCTGACTGGACCCTGAAGACAGCAGCTGTTGTCTGTAGAGAGCTGGACTGTGGCTCTGCTGTTTCTGTAGGAGAGAGAAAGGAGTCCTCAGACAGACCTGTGTGGAGGATCAGGTCTGACTGTGTTCTGTCTGGATCTGCTCTGAGGGAGTGTGCAACATCAGGTTCCTCTCCCTCCATCCTGGATCTCACCTGCTCAGGTAAGCCCCTCAGTGACATCTTCTATGACATCATCTCTGACAGTAATGTACCCAGGTTGACACACACTCAGCAGCTAGAATGGCGAGAAGGGTCTGGCTGCGGACTGTAGCTTAGGGGGCGTGGCGTGAGCAAGGGGGCGAGGGCCGTGGCGTGAGTGGAAAACCACACTACAGGCCGATCCAACTTTGATGTAATGTCCTTAAAACAAGTCAAAATGAGGCTCAGTAGTGTGTGTGGCCTCCACGTGCCTGTATGACCTCCCTACAACGCCTGGGCATGCTCCTGATGAGGTGGCGGATGGTCTCCTGAGGGATCTCCTCCCAGACCTGGACTAAAGCATCCGCCAACTCCTGGACAGTCTGTGGTGCAACGTGGCGTTGGTGGATGGAGCGAGACATGATGTCCCAGATGTGCTCAGTTGGATTCAGGTCTGGGGAACGGGCGGCCCTGTCCATAGCATCAATGCCTTCCTCTTGCAGGAACTGCTGACACACTCCAGCCACATGAGGTCTAGCATTGTGTTGCATTAGGAGGAACCCAGGGCCAACCGCACCAGCATATGGTCTCACAAGGGGTCTGAGGATCTCATCTCGGTACCTAATGGCAGTCAGGCTACCTCTGGCGAACACATGGAGGGCTGTGTGGCCCCCCAAAGAAATGCCACCCCACACCATTACTGACCCACCGCCAAACCGGTCATGCTGGAGGATGTTGCAGGCAGCAGAACGTTCTCCACAGCGTCTCCAGACTCTGTCACGTCTGTCACATGTGCTCAGTGTGAAACCTGCTTTTATCTGTGAAGAGCACAGGGCGCCAGTGGCAAATTTGCCAATCTTGGTGTTCTCTGGTAAATTCCACACATCCTGCACGGTGTTGGGCTGTAAGCACAACCCCCACCTGTGGACGTCGGGCCCTCATACCCCCCTCATGGAGTCTGTTTCCGACCGTTTGAGCAGACACATGCACATTTGTGGCCTTCTGGAGGTCATTTTGCAGGGCTCTGGCAGTGCTCCTCCTGCTCCTCCTTGCACAAAGGCGGAGGTAGCGGTCCTGCTGCTGGGTTGTTGCCCTCCTACGGCCTCCTCCACGTCTCCTGATGTACTGGCCTGTCTCCTGGTAGCGCCTCCATGCTCTGGACACTACGCTGACAGACACAGCAAACCTTCTTGCCACAGCTCGCATTGATGTGCCATCCTGGATGAGCTGCACTACCTGAGCCACTTGTGTGGGTTGTAGACTCCGTCTCATGCTACCACTAGAGTGAAAGCACCGCCAGCATTCAAAAGTGACCAAAACATCAGCCAGGAAGCATAGAGAGAAGTGGTCAGTGGTCAACACCTGCAGAACCACTGCTTTATTGGGGGTGTCTTGCTAATTGCCTATAATTTCCACCTGTTGTCTATTCCATTTGCACAACAGCATGTGAAATTGATTGTCAATCAGTGTTGCTTCCTAAGTGGACAGTTTGATTTCACAGGAGTGTGATTGACTTGGAGTTACATTGTGTTGTTTAAGTGTTCCCTTTATTTTTTTGAGCAGTGTACATGTCTGCTGCTTCAGGAGGCCCCGGGGCCAACCACCAACCAGCCTGAAAGCACTCCTCCTTCAGCTTGACGGCTTTCTTAGCCACTGGTTTCCACCAGCAGGGTCTTTGGTTGCCTCCATAACAGGCACCAATGACCTGCCGGCCACAACTTTGAGCAGCTGAGCTCAGCCGGGAGCTCGTCAGTATCTCCACACCCACGTGGCGTCCTCCACCCTGGCAGCTCCTTCAAAGGAGAGAGTCCAGCCCCTATCCCTGTTAGAGCTGTTGGAGCATTTTCTAAGCAGCTTTTTCTTCTGGGTTACAGATCTTCATAGAAAATTAAGACAGAATGAAAAGTGTTGAACTTCTTTGTGTGGAGAGTAAAGATTGTGGAGTACCTGAGCAGAAGGAACAGAGCAGAGAAATGTGCAGATGATGATGTTGTGCTGTTGTTTGGAAACATGTTGAAAGTGTTCAAACGTGGAGAACAAGTGTGACAGAGTATTTTATGGAAATGTGCTGGTGAACTTGCTGCAGTCTGTGCTGTTAGAAAGATGTGTTCTGTTGTTAATGATGAACTGATGTTGGAGTTGTGCTGAGTCCAGTTTGAATCACTGAATTGTTGTTTCATGACATGCTTTTCTTTTGTGTCTGGTGCTTTATCTCTATTTCATCTTCTATTATCTCTCCAGACTCTGTCAGGCTGCTGGACGGGACTAGTCTGTGCTCAGGCAGACTGGAGGTGAAGTCTAACCAGTCTAACCAGTCTAACCAGTGGTGGTCCTCAGTGTGTGAAGCTGACTTTGACCAGCAGGATGCAGAGGTGGTCTGTAGGGAGCTCGGCTGTGGGGATCCTTCAGTCCTCCAGGGGGCGCTCTATGGAGAAGTGGAGGCTCCGATGTGGACCAAAGAGTTCCAGTGTGGAGGCCATGAGTCTGCTCTCCTGGACTGTAGAAGCTCAGGCTCAGCTAGAAACACCTGCTCACCTGGAAAAGCTGTTGGGCTCACCTGCTCAGGTAGAAGAGGAGCTGCAGCTTTGATTTGGTTCATTTCTGTTCTGATGAAACTCACTTTAATGTTTTACTGATGACTCTCTTGTTTCTGTTCAGAGCCTGTCAGGTTGGTGGGAGGAGCCAGTCGCTGTGCAGGAACACTGGAGCTGAAACATCAGGGAGAATGGAGACCAGTGAGTTACTATTACTCTGTCTGGACCCTGAAGACAGCAGCTGTTGTCTGTAGAGAGCTGGACTGTGGCTCTGCTGTTTCTGCAGAAGAGAGAAAGGAGTCCTCAGACAGACCTGTGTGGTGGATCAGGTCTGACTCTGTTCAGTCTGGATCTGCTCTGAGGGAGTGTGCAACATCAACTTCCTCTCTCTCCATCCTGGATCTCACCTGTTCAGGTAAGCCCGTCAGTGACATCATCTATGACATCATCTCTGACAGTAATGTACCCAGGTTGACACACACTCAGCAGCTAGAATGGCAGCAGACTGTCTCTGGCAGCCATGACGGAGTCTGATGAGCTGCTGCCTCAGTAAATCAGGAGCTGAATGCACCAAGATATATATATATATATATATATATATATATATATATATGAAACATGTCTGCTGCTTCAGGAGGCCCCGGGGCCAACCACCAACCAGCCTGAAAGGACTCCTCCTTCAGCTTGATGGCTTTCTTAGCCACTGGTTTCCACCAGCAGGGTCTTTGGTTGCTCAGTGCCCAACTAACACCAACATCCCACAGTTGGCAGTAGTTGGTTTCAATTTCAATTAAATTTTGTTTATATAGCGCCAGATCACAACAACAGTTATCTCTGAGCACATTTCATAAAGAGCAGGTCTAGACCGTACTCTGTAAAGATATTTACAGAAGCCCAACAGTTCCCAACAAGAGCAGCACTAGGCGACAGAGGCAAGGAAGAACTTCCTTTAAGAGGCAGAAACCTCAAGCAGAACCATGACTCAGGGTGGGCGGCCATCTGCCTCGACCAGTTGTGAGTGAGAGAGAGAGAGGTGAGGGAGGCAGCCTACACAATATCCAGACAGAGGTATTGAAAGTAAAGGTGAGGAGGAGAGAGGAGGGGGACGAGAAAGCACAAGACTATGGGAAAGGGGAGAAGTCGAGTTAGTAACATGCATTAATGGGATGAGGTTGTATACAGACGGAGAGAAAGAAGAGGAGAGAGGAGCTCAGTGAGAGCAGCAAACATGCTACCAATCAATACGCTTACCGCCACACGTCAGCACGCCCTCTGGAGTCTTTAGTATGTTCAGAAAACCATCTCTCAGTTCCTCACTGCCCAGACAGACTTTTGTAGCCTATTTATTCTTATTTAAGCCACAGTTCGAGGCTGTGGTCACTTTTTGGCCAGTGGAAAACTACCTATTACTGGCTGTATTGGCTCTTTAAAGGGATTTCAACAGGTTAAAAGGACTGGGTGAGCTATGATCAGCCATAACTCAAATATAACGCTCATGACTGAAATCAAGTCATTTTGAGAACCTTTTAGTCACAAGTTGTGAGGTGGAATCAGTTTTTTGGCAAGTGCTAAACTGCATAAGCTCTATGGGCCGTATTGGCTATTTAAATGTATTTCAACTGGTAACAATTTCTGGAGAAATTGCGGTGTGAATGCTGGCTGTTGAAGGCTGATGCTAAACTGGATTGCTAAACGTCATGCAAGCTTTCATTTCAGCCTTTTAAACAAGCAGTAGATGCTCCTGTCACTTTAAGACCCAAAGAGGACACAAACAGAAAATAGCTTAACTTCAGTCCACCAATCAGAACAGAGGACCCAATCCTTTGAACTTTAGCCACTTGGAAATGGACTGACCCGATACAGGGGACATAATCGATTTTTGCTGTTCTAGCTGTTTTCCTTCCAAAAACAGCGGCGCTTTGTGTCAACAGAGACCGTCTGGCGTGCCGCCTTCTTGGTGAGGTCGCCATAGCTCTAAGTTTCATTTCTGTGGTCAAATTGACCTACAGAAGAAGAGTTTGATTTGGCGGAGGCGGTCTTTATCGGCCTCTATCGGCTGTGATCCCAGATTATTTGTCTTTAAAATTTCTCTCTTTATAATACCAAACAGCTGTTTCCTGTGGAGGTTTGCCTCATTTCCCGTTTGACATTTCTAGTGTGTTTTCTTGATAAAACGTGTTTGGAGACCATCGTTGGGTGACAGAGCCGCTGTCAGCTCGTGTAGTGTGTGACCCCCTGTACCGATCAGTTACGTAGTGTGAACGCCACAACGACTTCAAGAATCCCCGTCGCAAGACGTTAAGTTGTGTAGTGTGAACGGCACGGCAAGTCGTGTAGTCTTTTTCTTCTGGGTTACAGATCTTCTTAGAACATTAAGACAGAATGAAAAGTGTTGAACTTCTTTGTGTGGAGAGTAAAGATTGTGGAGTACCTGAGCAGAAGGAACAGAGCAGAGAAATGTGCAGATGATGATGTTGTGCTAGTGTTCAAACGTGGAGAACAAGTGTGACAGAGTATTTTATGGAAATGTGCTGGTGAACTTGCTGCAGTCTGTGCTGTTAGAAAGATGTGTTCTGTTGTTAATGATGAACTGATGTTGGAATTGTGCTGAGTCCAGTTTGAATCACTGAATTGTTGTTTCATGACATATTTTTCTTTTGTGTCTGGTGCTTTATCTCTATTTCATCTTCTATTATCTCTCCAGACTCTGTCAGGCTGCTGGACGGGACTAGTCTGTGCTCAGGCAGACTGGAGGTGAAGTCTAACCAGTCTAACCAGTCTAACCAGTGGTGGTCCTTAGTGTGTGAAGCTGACTTTGACCAGCAGGATGCAGAGGTGGTCTGTAGGGAGCTCGGCTGTGGGGCTCCTTCAGTCCTCCAGGGGGCGCTCTATGGAGAAGTGGAGGCTCCGATGTGGACCAAAGAGTTCCAGTGTGGAGGCCATGAGTCTGCTCTCCTGGACTGTAGAAGCTCAGGCTCAGCTAGAAACACCTGCTCACCTGGAAAAGCTGTTGGGCTCACCTGCTCAGGTAGAAGAGGAGCTGCAGCTTTGATTTGGTTCATTTCTGTTCTGATGAAACTCACTTTATTGTTTTACTGATGACTCTCTGGTTTCTGTTCAGAGCCTGTCAGGTTGGTGGGAGGAGCCAGTCGCTGTGCAGGAACACTGGAGGTGAAACATCAGGGAGAATGGAGACCAGTGAGTTACTATTACTCTGTCTGGACACTGAAGACAGCAGCTGTTGCCTGTAGAGAGCTGGACTGTGGCTCTGCTGTTTCTGTAGGAGAGAGAAAGGAGTCCTCAGTCAGACCTGTGTGCTGGACCAGGTCTGACTGTGTTCAGTCTGGATCTGCTCTGAGAGAGTGTGTAGCATCATCAGGTCCCTCTCCCTCCATCCTGGATCTCACCTGCTCAGGTAAGCCCATCAGTGACATCATCTCCGACAGTAATGTCTCCAGCGTGTCCTCTCCTCTGTCTCAGTGTCTCAGTGGTTTCCATTGGACTGAACTGTAAAGTTCTCCAGGACAGTGACGTCCTAAAGTGTAGAGAGGTGGGCTTGTTTCTGTAAGCTTCACCTGACAGGACACACCTGGAGGAACCTGTCTGTCTGTCTGTCTCTGTGTTTGGGGACGTCCCACCAGGTAGATCCAGTCCCTCCTTTTACAGTCTGTCATCGCTCTGCTCCATGTTTGTTACCCGTGTCAGACCTGTGACATCACTTCCTTCTTCAGGGGCCATTTTGTTGAACGAATGTGACCTTTCATCATCTGTGTGTTTACAGACCTGCTGCTTCAGCCCAACATCTCTGTGTCCTCCTCCATGGACGGGGTCTCCGAGGCCCAGCAGCAGGGCTTTCAGGTGTCCAGGGGCTCCACCTTCACCATCAGCTGCTCCATCCAGCCACAGTACCCAGGAGGCTCCTTCCAGCTCGCCTTCACCTCCTCCAACACATCACACAACTACACCCAGCCAGCTGTCAATCACTCTGCCCACTTCCTGTTTCCTGCTGCACAGACCGCCCACCAAGGAAACTACAGCTGTGTTTATCACGTCCATGTTTTTTCTCATGACTTCTCCTCTGAGAGCCGTCGGCTGTCTCTCACTGTCTCAGGTAAGCTGAAGCAGAGCAGCTGAAACGTCACCTTCACAGATCTTCTTATTGATTTCACTCTTTATCATGACAGATTGGAACTTCATTACAAAGGCTGCAGAGATCTACTGATTAGTTTCTGATGACAGACTTGATGTCGCTGCTTATTCTGCTTCCAGACCATGTTCACCTGCTTCTCTCCAGCAACAACGATAAACACATGAACCCTCAAATAATCACGATTAACGTTACGTTAACTAGAAAAATTCACGGCAGAACATTTTAAATATATTATTATAAATATATATTTTAATGACTCAGAGACGCGTACCTGTCAACATCACTGCAGCTTGCAGCACACCTGAAGCTGGTAGCCATGACAACACTGTTCCACGGACCCTCCAACAGCTGGATTTGTGTTGCGTTTAAGCACAATAAATTATATTTGTTTAATGAACCCTCTTTAGAAACTGTGTAAAACATAAAAATCTGAGCAGAAAGTCAGGAACCCCTTTTCCACCACTGGTCCTAGTGTGGTAGGAAAACGCCCACATGTCAGCCCACATATAAAAGTCTCACCAGAGTCCAGTTTCATTTCTACAGGCCAGAATCAGATTCTTTCCAGAGGGCTTTATAATCTGTACAACAAATGACCCCCTCTGTCCTCAGAGCCTCGATCCAGATAAACAAACTCCACAAAAAGGAGAAGCATCAAGAGGATCAGCAGAGGAGAGATCCCTCTTTAGATCAGACAGGCAGGAAACAGATGTCGTCTTTACAGAGCAGACAGACGGACCAGTAGGACAACAACTATATGAACAAACTCAATGAAGATATCAAGTGCAAACATTTAAGGTGATATGAAGCGGAAGGGGCGGCGGTTAGCTCAGCTGGTAGAGAGCATGTCGAGTCCTTAACACAGCATCCCATCTCTCTCCCACTCTTTCAACTGTCCTATCAAAAAATATATAAGAAGTGAAGTTTAAGAGATGAGTCTGTCAGACCAACCTGGGAACCCATCGGCTGTAGACTGGAGCTGACCCCCTTTCAGCTGGAGGCTTTAGGCATTTGAACTGCTTTGCCCCTCTGGTTGCGACGGCTCTGCTTGTTTCTTGCCCCCAGATTCTGCGTTCAGATATAGAGCTGATGGTGTGTGATGTGATGACTGTCCATGTGTTTGATCAGATCCAACAGGTCTTCTCATCAAAGTGGTCGTCCTGCCGCTGACTCTGCTGTTGGTGATCGCTGCTGTTTGTTTCTACCGTAAGGTACTGACACATGTCTGTTGTTTAGAGACCTGAGATGAAGCACTCGGTCTGTGTTTACTGACCTGAAGAAGAGGAGGAGTGATGCACTAACTCACATGTGTTTGCTGTCAAGTCTCTCCAGGCCAGGCAGGAGGACATTGAGCTGGATTATTATAACCTGGGTGTTTCTGCAGCTGAAGGAGGGCCGACTGAAGAGGAAGGAGCTCAGGTAGCTGAGTAGGACCTCCGAGGAGCTCATCTCGGCTGCTTCACAACCCACCATCAGCTCAGTACAGGATTTTACACTTTTATACTGATGGATAAGTCTCTGGTTCTGGTTCTTAGAGGGCCTTCATAGAAACAGTTTGACTGCCTGACAGAGATGGGGACTCGAGTTTGAGACTCGGACTTGAGTCCGACTTAAGTCACACACACAGTGACTTCAGACTCGACTCGGACTCGAGGAGCGGGACTCGTGAACAATGTGCATTTTTAGGAAACATCTGATGAGCTTGCTGTTATTCCGCTCCCTCCGTTACCTGTAACCTGCCTAAGTAAAACGTACACGTAGTATGCTACGTGAGAGAGGACAACACACACCGGCAGCTGCTCCGCCATTCATCATAAACTTTGGCTTAAAAACTTCAAACAAGACCCAAACAAAGAAGCGCTGAACGCAAAATAACGTTAACTTGCTTCTTGCTTTAGTTACGACCTACAGTAGGTTAACACCGACTGTCGTTCGTTATGAAAAGATGAATGAGCGTTTCTTTACTTGCCAAACTTGTGGTGGTCAAACGTAATCAGTTACATCCCGCTGGCGGCCGTCATGTTAATTATTAACGTTGGCTGCAAACAGGCTACAGGTTGATTGTTGTTACGTTACAGTTTTATCTAGTTATAACGTTACACTGGTTTGAGAGTCTGCTGGTGTTGACTTACAGGAGTTAAAGCCACCCTCCAGATACATGATATTTCATATTTTTCTGAGTCATTTCCTTACAATGTTGATTACCCACATAGTTTGCCAAATATTTTTTGACAAATAGCTTGATTTTGTGCTCAAAGTTGCAAAAGTTGCTTACTTGTTAAAACCATTAATTCCCTAAGTCATATGTCATTGTCCAAGTTTCATGCCTCGTTAAAAAACTGTCACGCCGTCACGCGTTAAGTCTGAGCATCAAGCCGATTAACATCGCTGTGAGCTAGCTAACCAATTTATCATGTCATTTACTTGGAACTTACAGTAGGTATGTTCATTATGGCATCTGTGCGTGCGGTGTTGGAGGACAGTTGATGACAGTTGTTGGAGGCCGCACTTTCACCTGCCACCGTCTTATACATAGTCTGCAACATGCATTTTACTGACGGACGTTTTACCAATGCATCGGCGGAGGCACCCCCCCAACCCCGGGGTAAAGTAAGCGCACCATAAAACATAGTGGGAGTTATCATGTGCAGCGCGTGACAGGACCATCGACTGTATGACTGATAACAGCTGATAGGCGCACATTAATTTCTATCATAGGTAAGTAATGGCTACTCCTGCCAGACAGTAAAGTGTACTAAACTTTACAGTGGGTTCATGTTAACACAGCATACCGTTAGTGAACACTCCAGCTGGTCAGTTTTTGATTGTCATGGTAAATTAGAAAAGATTACACAATCACAGTTTGTTGAATCTACATGATATGTTTTATTCTTTGACTTGATATTTTTCTTGTTAATTTGTGACTAGAGCAAAGGGGTGTTGCAACTACTGGCAGGAAGTGTACGGTACCTATAAAGAAGAGGAAGGATGTGAGGTGAGAATGTAAGAACCAATCAGTCTGATGGCTAACTTATAGCAGCCAATGAACGTTTGGAAAAGGGCTGACGTCCTTCCTGACGATTATTATTTCAGTTGCTGACCCCAGAGCTCAAGAAGAATTAGGGGAAAATAAAGAAGAGGTGAAAGAGGAGAAAAAGGGGGAACTTTTGGGGGCTCCTGTTTTTGCATTTGTTGAAAATAAATCAGTTTCTCTTTGGGTGCACGCCTGAAGAAACTAGAAAGAGTTTTTCTTCTCTTTCTGTCTTAATTTTCTTCCTCCTCTTCCGGACTGGTAAGTTAGAATTCTTCTACTTTAACATCCACACTGCCTACATTAACAGCTCATTACAGATCAGCAGCAAACTGCTCCTTTAAGGAACTCTTTCCAGGTTATGTGTTCAGGGCCCTACTCTCCTGGAGTCAGACATTACAGACGGTCAGGCCAATACCTAGTACTAAAACTAGCTCATTATCAGAGGTCGCCCTTTTTCCTAAGTGCTATCTGAAGTCATAAGGGTGCCCGGAGTTGGTGACCCGAGAGAGCGGGGTTTCCTTGCAGAAGGGCCACTTGTCTCATTGTTTCATTTTAAAACTAAGTATCGGGGTCCAAACACCCGGCACAATTGATATCAGAGAAGAAACGTGTCCCAGAGCCTCCTGCTCCTGTATGTGTAGTTCTGGAGGCATCGAGGGCCGGTGACGCTAATTTGGTGCAGTTTGGAGAAAAATACAGAAGCGCAGAGATCAGAGTCGTGTAGCGAGCAGACAAAGTCCAACGTTAAAAATCAGAGGCTGTTCTGACTCCAGCTTCATCTGGTTAGAGAGACATGAACTTTCTGACTTTCCTTTAGCGCCCCCTTGTGGTCAACATGGCTCATTTTCTGTAGCGAGAAAGATTTGCTCCTCCAGGACCTTGAAAACATTTGTTCCTTCGATGGTTTGGCAGCAGGAGCACATTTAGCTCAGATCTGACTAAAAACCAGCACAATTATGAATTGAATCATTTAGTAATTAAGGAAGTCACTTATTTCAGAAGAATTTCCCTTTGCTTTTCACACTGAGTATGTGACACTTTCTCAAAGGTCACTTTGACCTCCAAAGAGGTTTTTAGCCATAATTTCAGAATGAATTGGGCGACTTCAGGTTTCACACATGATGACTGGGACGACAAAATGAGGAAACAATAACCAGCACAGTACAGGCTTTCCTCCATCTCCTCCATTCTGTCTTTCACTTCCTGCCCTGGATTCCTTTGGGCCAGTTTCGCCCTTCAAAATGGCGTCCACAGAAAGTGCTTCCTTTTGGTGCGGACAGGCTCAGACTGTTATACCAGATGTCTGACAGCATCATGGAAAGGATGGGAGTGACTCCCGCTTACATCCTTTGTTTCTAACAGGAAACTGAAGTCTCGCCAAGGACACTTCTGGCTCTGAAATCTTGTGAGAGGCGAATCTCACCGGAAAGGTGACGAGTTTGCATCCCTGAGGATTCTTCTTCCTGCAGAGCCACAGAAGAAATGCTATGTGAACAGAAACCCTTTCCCCTTAGTGCTGCTGCAGGGCCTCTGTGATGCCAGGGGCCTCAACTATGTGATGGTAAGATAAGTGATCTCTCTCTGCTGGAGCTGTGGCTGCCCTTTCAACAACAACATTTATTTATTTAATAAATAAACTTAAGGGGTTGTAAAAATATTATTGGTATTAAGGAAGTCACTGATTAACATTTTTTTTCAGCAGGCACTAGCGGTTTTAAGATTGCAACCAGGTGTGCGCTCGTACGCGTGCTCGCTTGAACTCATGAGGGAGCATAATCCAGAAACACAACTGCTTTCATACAGAAATCCTGCAATAAACGCAGGAACACCAGCATGCAGTCTGTGGCTTTTCTCCAGACATGTTCAGGCTCTGTTACTTAAACGTTCCCGGCTCAGAGGGAGCTCTTCAGCCTTCATGTGTCTTCAGCCTTTCTGAAGTTTTTACTCGACATCATCTGAATCTGTTTGGGTTGATGGGCATTCAGCACATAAACCTTTATTGTACTGTATCTTTACGTGGAGTCTGTGTTTTGCTGTGAGCTGGCTGTTTCGTGGTGTTAGTGGACTGCATGTCTTTAGCTGCGGTGTTAGTCGCTGTAGTCAGAGAGGCTCGGGAGCGCAGAGCTGAATCCGACCCGGTGTCCTCACATTAATAGCAGAATAGTGGCTGATGAAAGCAACAGGGAAAACAGGTGTGTGCTTCATTTCTAAGTGAGTTTTGACTACATAAATAAAAATCTAAAGCTTTAGGCTCTTTGTGATTCATTTGAATTTTATCATTCAGCTTTTTCACATGCTCATCCATTCATATCACTTCCTACTGGGCTTTGGAAAGAGAGTTATGTGCACACATGGGTCAATTTGATACTTGAGCGGGACAGCGCTTGTAGATGCAGCAGCTGGTAGCTCGTTCAAACTTTGCTACACTTCAGTTTTTTATCAGTTTTTTTCTACGACTTTGTTGCCAAAACATGCGTTACCTCTGATATAAATACAGTCATTGGAAAATGAAGACTAGTGATGTGCGATACCACTTAATTCCTATATGATTCAATATCAAGTAATACCCAGGCTGGTATTGCTGATACCGATACCAATACTTTTTACCTATTTTATTTCTAGTTTAATGCAACCTCCCTCCTCCCGTTTCTGTATTTATGAGAGAAATAAGGAGTGGGCGGCAGCCTTACCAATTCAAAATAATAGCTGCATAATTACAATAAAAATATCCTGCTCAGAACTGCCGCATCAGCATCATTACAGAGACCTGCCCCGTCAACATCCCGGATCAAGCACTTGGCAGGTGGTCCATGTTATGAGTTGTCAGCACAAGACTCTGGCAAGATGAGAGGAAGTGGACTTATTGTGAAGATGAAACTTTCATATTATCATCTGGTTGTTGCTGTTTACATTCACCCCAGATGCAAATTCAGAAAATGCACTGTGGAATAATCAGGGTGGATATGTGTCTGTATATATGTATATAAATGACTGCCTTGTTTTCTTTTCTTTTATATGTTACCATATTTTAATATAGGCCAACACTTAATTATATGTTGTGTGTGTAACATAAAGGAACTACAAATTTCGTTTCGTTATTCAGCCTTGTGCTGTATAATGACAAAAAAACAACCTTACCTTAAGTTGTGTGTTGGCCACAGGAATGTCCTCTCCATGATATACAAAGATTGAAGGATTCAAAGTGTTCATTGTCAAATGTTCAAGTTTCCCTGTACACTGACATTCTTACTTTGCTGTCCGCATCAAATGCCTAAAATAAAAATAAAATAAAAGTATAAATAAAATATAATAAAAATACAATAAATAGAGACATAACAATTATGTTCTCTAAATCTCTTATCCCCTAAACCCTCCTTTAGATGTTCCAGCTTATGATTGGAAGATTCACTTTGCTCTGGTAATTTTAACACATGTAGTGTCCCACATCTCTTTGCACTGAAACACGCTCATTTTTATTTAATCAGGCGTGACGTGAGTGTGAGTTTTTGTGATTTCCTGAATTTGTCTGTTTTTTAAATCAGGTGTGATGTTTTGATTTGGTCTTTACAGATCAAAGTCAAATAGTGACGTTGAACTTTCAAAATGTGATGCCACTTCCCACAATTCTTGGGAGTGAGTTCAATACTGAATGAGAGCTGGACAGGGGAAAACAAATTGTGCTCTATTTCAGTACATAGAACTTATAGAAATGGGAACAACATTAACTAAAGGGAATGGAGATTTTCAGCTTGAAGAATATGAGTTTCTATCAAGTAAATTAAGCAGGTACATGATAGAGACTGTACTGGGGGAGGGAAGTTTTGGAAAAGTGGCCCGGTGTATAAAATTAGACACCAAGGACACGGTGGCCGTGAAGATTGTGCGGAAGAATGTTGTCTGGGCTGGTTAAAGAGAGCTGGACGTGTTTAACAAACTCAGGAAGCTGGATCAAGACAAGACCAACCTGATCTGGTTTAATGAGCATTTTAAGGACACATGTATCTGGTATTTGAAATGCTGGACTTAAGTCTGTTCCACTTCATAAATCTGAGGAACTTCCATCCACTGTGTTTGTCTGAGATTAGAGTAATCACACAACAGGGCCCAGTTGTTCAAAAAGTTTAATCTGGATCAGAATGATCTGGATTTGGAAATCCCATGCTTTGCTATCCAGGATCATGTAACCCATCTTATTTTTGCGCCGGTTTTTCAAAACAACATTGGATTGGATCAGCCTGATCCAGGTTTGTGTACCCGTTGCTCATCACGCTGTCAGCGGATGTGTTTAGAGCTTCTTACTCGTGCTTCTGTCAGCCTTCCGATAATGGTGGATCAGTATCTCTTTGTTTGACTCTGTTGCTAATATACATCTGATTGTGCCCGACATGTAATCACAGGACTACAATGGTAGAGATCAGACTAAACAACTTCCTGTGTGTGGCTGCTGACAGTGGCTCCAGCTAAAATCACCACTGACTGTGACGATTACTTTAAATGCTGCTGCTGTGACTACAGTGTAGTGTTATCTCTGCTATCGCTACTGTACTAGTCTAACTGCTACTATTATGCTAATACTACTAGCACTACTACTACTCCTAGCGTCAGTTTGCACCTGTCATGTATTTCTCATTACTACATTATATTACAGTGTGATCATTACATTCAGAGTCATAGCTAAACATCAAGACTCCTCCTCCCTCTGCATCAAAAAATGTTTCTTCCTTGCTTTTTTGTACAATTGTTGAAAAATACAACCATGTTATGAAGTATTATTGGTTGGGTGTAGTAGAAAGGTATTATGGTAGTTGTTGCTGAATAACCGTCTGAAGAATTTACTATATCTTTCGAAAAAACAGAAGCTTAGCTTTAAGACAATGTTTTGATACTCATAAGGTGGTGCTATTATAATACTGCTACTACAACTATTATTTCTACTCTACTAGTAGTACTACTAACACGGCTACCATTGCTACTTCTACTATGGCTGTACTGTTGCCACTTCTACTACTGCTAGTATTAATACTGCTACTACATTTACATTTACTCATTTGGCAGATGCTTTTATCTTACATTTGAGGAACAACATACAAGCATTAATACAGCACGAGATCTACACTTTACCTTTTTGCCTTAAAAAACATGGCATTGCACCAATTTGACAAGTTCATTTTCATAAGGGTTATTCCAAAATAAAATATGATGAGTAAAAGAAAAATGTACAAAACAGAAACGTCAGAAATATTATAGTAAATGAGTAGTTGTTCCATTTTTAGAATGTTTGGTTCGACTTTATTCTTGACATACAGCTGGGACACTTTGAAATATATTTATCACCAACAAGGTCAAGAATTAGTACAACTCTGAGGTGTTTTCACTGTAGATTTTTCACAGGAGGCTACTGTAGGTTGATGAAGATATTGTAGCGGGAATCTCTTTAAGATACTCTGAAGATGATGAGACAAGAAATAATCTTTAATTAATGAATAATCTAAACTTTATTTTTTTTCTGTTCACCTTGAGAGCTAGCCTACTATGATTTGAAAAAATAAAAAAGCAAGTATTTTTTGTAGTTTTTCACAGACAGTAGGACAGTGAGACAGGAAATCAGGGCGAGAGAGAGAGAGAGACATGCAGCAAGGGTCAGAAAACCATGCAGGACTAACTACTGCAGAATTCTATGAAACAAGAATAAAAGTACACTCTTGTAGCACAATGATGAGGGGAAATGAGAACAAAAGAGCAGCCAAAACATGCAAAAATAATAAAGCGAAAGGACGCAAAGCTATCCCCACATTTCCGTGGGGACATGAATGCAGCACGGGCAGGTTGTGAAATTCTGGAAAGAAATGACGCCCTGAGTGTGAATACTTTCACTTCCCAAAACGAAAGGTTCTGTACTGCTTTACAGTGGGTACGCTGGAGATGTAATTTACATAAAGTATCGTAATGGGCATTTGTGGCATTTAAAAATAATTAGTTCCGTATAACGCTCGGTTTTACTTTAAAGTTCCCTGGTGGTGCTGACAAAACGCTATGGTAGGAAGCACTGCGTTTCTACTGGGGTGCACGCAAAACAAACACAGCTGATAAAGCCGATGATAATGACGTCTCCGTAGATGAAATCGGAGAGAAATCCACTCATTAACTTTGAAAGCTTGGACCACTGGAGTGCCAGCTGGAGGTGGCGTATCATTTTGAATTAAAGTCGGTTCCTCTTCACGGAGGAGGGCCATTTGGTAAACAAAGTGGGAAACGTTAAAAGATTGAGGAAACGGCCGTGGAAGAACAGAGGGAGAGTTTTGTGCAAATATTGGTAATTCCTTTACGACTAACCTAAAGATTTTAGCAGCAGTGACTTGTCATAGTGAGAAACCAGTAAAGAACCTTTGGGCAGCTGTCAGTCAAACTAAGTGCTTGATGGACGCAATTTATTTGTGTTTACTGAGATTAAGTACTTTTTTTGGGGGTGGGGCAAACTGATACTGCCAAGCTTTAACCAGTATTGATCAGACTTAAGTTTGTCTAATGAGTATTATTGTTCAGACCAAAACACAGTTAGATTACTGCAGTTATCACTGGGTATGAGAGATGAGGGGAATTACAAATGCAAAGACTGTATTCTTGAATTATCACTGTGGCTGGTCGTGCTGTAATTGAGTCTGGTGGATGTCTATTCTTCTTTTGCTTAAGCTGTTCATAATACCGTGTGCTTGTCCTCTGTTATCCCTCAGAGGTGACTGCTCTGCAGTAAAGATGGGTCAGAAAGGAGAAGCCAAGGTGTCTTGCCATAACATCCTCACCTACCACAGAGAGCTGCTGGTGTCCAGGTTGAGGAGTATTCAGTGCATCTTGGACAACCTGTCGGCCGGTGGCTTCGTCTGTGAAGAAGATGTTGAGATTGTGCAGCGAACGATCACCAAAACAGATCAGGTAGGGAAACCAAAATAACAAAAGAGGCAATTTCCAACTGTTTAATTTAAAGACATTGTATTATATAGTAAAAAATGAAGTAGATAGTTTATGAAAAACACATACAATACATATTCCTGTGTTTGTTTGTTTTTTGTAGGTGCGCAAAATCTTGGAGCTTGTCCAATGCAAAGGGGAAGAGGCCTGTGAATTCTTTATTTATATCATATACAAAGTATGCAATGCGTACATAGACCTCCAGCCGTGGTTGAAAGAGATTAACTACAACCCAAGCAATGATGTAACGGTGATGAAAGTGGTTAACACAGATCCCAGTAAGTATTACAGTCATTAATGCTGCTTTGCACTGCCAAGATGTTCTTTTTTATGCTTTATAGATTCCATTTAAGGGTGTTTGTGTCACTAGGAGGCCAATATGCTTGATGTCCACATGTTGGCCTGGTATGAAGAGGTAAGCCAGTTGTAGTTTTGCTCTGTTAGACTATGGTAAGATGTACGACTAAGAAATCAGTCACACCTGGCTCAGTTTATGGTTTCTTAGGCAAATGCTCGGTCACCTTTTGTTCTTAGTCTGGCTCCAGGAACAGACAGGAGGTCCTTGCCAGAAGATCTTAGGCCATGGGAGGGCTCATATGGAGTTAAAATATCTAAAATATAATCAGGAGCCAAGCCATGAATAGCCTTAAAAGTAATGAGTAAAATCTTAAAATCAATCCTAAAACAAACAGGGAGCCAGTGCAATGATGCTAAAACAGGGGTGATATGATCATATATTCTTGTCCTAGTTAGGAGCCGAGCAGCTGAGTTCTGTACGGTCTGTAATCTATTTAGGATTTTCTGATTATGGCAAGTGAAGAGGCTGTTGCAATAATCAATGCGTGAGGAGATAAAGCATGTATAACAGTTTTAACATTTAAAATAGGCCTTATTTTTGCGATTTTTCTAAGGTGGTAAAAGCTGGACTGGACCAGTTTAGAAACATGATGCTCAAAGCATAACTTACTATCAAATAGCACACCAAGATTTCTTGCAACAGGCTTCACGTGTTGTAGCAGGTAGCCAGAAGAGAGCAGAATTTAATTGCAGAGATGTTGGAGGACCTATAACCAGGATTTCTGTTTTATTGGAGTTAAGTTGTAGGAAATTATTCGACATCTTATGTTTTATATCGGTAAGGCAGTCCTGTAATGAACTCAGCATACTAAGGTTGGTGGGCTGTACAGGTAGGTATAACTGTGTATCATCCGCATAACAATGGAAGGAGATACCATGTCTGCGTATGATATCACCTAGAGGGAGCATATATATAGAAAACAAAATAGGTCCAAGGATTGACCCCTGAGGCACACCGTAGTTGGTGGTGGAGAAAGAAGATTTAAAATTATTTATAGAGACACAAAACTTCCTATTGGATAAGTATGAGGCAAACCAGTACCAGATATCCCCACCCAGTGCCTCAGTCTGTTTAACAGGACTGAGGCAGGATGCCATGATCAGTGGTGTCAAAGGCCGCACTTAAATCCAGCAGAAGCAGTATTGAACATTTGCCCGCATCAGCGTTCATTAGGAGGTCATTGGAGGTCAGTGCTGTCTCAGTATTGTGATGTTTACGGAAGCCAGACTGGAACTTTTCAAAGATACAATTGTTTTCCATTACAGCAAAGAGCTGCTTAGAAACTTCTTCTGTAACCTCTCAAGGGTTTTTGAAAGAAAAGGCAGTTTAGAGATTGGGCGGTAGTTATCAAGGATGTTAGGGTCAAGGCTAGGTTTCTTTAAGACAGGTTGTACACATGCCGTCTTGAAGTACACCGTGACACAGCCAGTAGATAATGAGCTGTTAAAAATTAAAAGCAAGTGTGGGCTAATATAATTCAAAACTTCTATTAAAAACTTTGCAGGAATCAGATCAAGAGAGCTAGAGCAAGGCTTCATCTTCAACATAATTTCCATAAGTTCTGCCATGGTAATAGAAGAAAAGGAACTCTAAGGATCCTGGGTAGGGTGCACAACATCTAAAAAGGCAGGGTTTGGGCTAATACTGGCTCTTAATAATTCCACCTTAGTGACAAAGTGTGTTAAAAATATCTCACAATCAGCAGAGGCACAGGGAGAGTCAGGGTTCACCAACAGATCGAGAGTCTTAAAAAGAAAACTAGGATTGTGCTGGTGGACAGCAATAAGATTTGAGAAATGGTGAGCTCTTGCATCTTTTACCAACCTATTGTACGAAGATCATCAGATTTCATGGCCGTGAAATGGACCTGGAGACCTGATTTTTTTCCATCTGCGTTCTGTTTTTCTGCATTCCCATTTGCAGCTTCTGATATCTGCATTAAACCAGGGTTGCTTTGCAGATTTTAAGTGTTGTTTGTTTTTGAGAGGCGCTATGAGATCAAGGGTTAAGGAACAGAGGGAATTAAAATAGTTGACAATATCATTAGTGGAGGAGATATCAGGGGGCACATGAACTGAAGAGGGCACCAAATTTAGAGGCGCTCTGCTCATTTAAACTGCGGTTTTGTTTTGATAAAGACTGGACAACACTACCAGCCTGTAGTTCACAGTGGAAATGAATGACATGATGATCAGATATAAAGATGTCCTTAATTTCTACAGCGGATATCTTCACACCCAAGCTAAGAACCAAGTCTAAAGTGTGGCCATAGTGATGAGTTTTGCCCGACACATGTTGAGTAAAATTAAAAGAATGAATGATACTTAAAAAATCAAGAGCAGGGAGATTTGAAGACTCGTACTTGAAAATTAAAATCTCCACAAATAAGGATTCTGTCCTCATATAAAACAAGATCAGATAAAAATTCAGGGAATTCCAGCATGAAGGGACCAGCTGGATTGGGGGGGCGGAAGATGACAGCAATTAGGACCAGTGGGGGGACACCAAGTTTGAATAAGAGCACTTCAAAAGAAGAGTAATCGATACACAGAGTTTTAGTGCATTTAAAGTGCTTTCTAAAAACAGCCACAATGCCACCCCCACGGCCACTCTCCCTGGGGCGGCTAAAATAAACATAATCCGGGGGGCATAATTCAATAAGATGACTGTGATCACCAGGACGTAGCCAAGATTCAGTCAGAAACATACCGTCTAAGTCAGAAGAAGAGATAAAATCATTTAAAATGAAAGTTTTGTTTGAGAGGGATCTAACATTAAGAAGAGCCAACTCTAGTGATCTATACTGTGGTAAAGCAGACGTAACGACCTGAGGCGAGGATAAAGCTTGTATCCTAATTAAGTTATTGCTATTGCTGAAACAAATGTGTCTGTCTCGATTTAACAGGCCTATGCGAAGTCAATACAAGGATTTTAGGGATGCATGAGGCAGCGATGTGACAAGCATGAACACAGGATAGAGATTGTTAGAGACTGTAGAGCCCTAGGACATGGGTATTCAAAGTCTGAGACGGTGGGCCTCCCCTCAGCTTGGAAATAGGCACCCCCTCACCCCCTTAGTTTACTTGCTTGGTTTCCCCATAGACTGTATAAAGGAAGTGGACATGGCCACCGTGACGACACCCAGCGGTTTGTGGACTGTAATTTTAAAGCCTTGAGTTTCTGGAAGCAAAACTGGCCAACTCAGCTGTGATTTTTGGAGTGCTGTACCATCCAGTGAGGTGTGTCTGCTATTTTGTCTACCTCCATTTAGATCAATGAGTACAGAAGTGGACTGCACTAATGTGTAACTAGCATTTTAATGTTGAAACTATTTGAGGTGAAGCTAAATTAAATATTTAACTTACCGTTTTTGGTACTTTTATAAGTAACTAGTAACTAACATTATAATTAAGTTGAATTATTTCCAGCTGTGAACTTCTCCTCTGATCACTTTGTGGAACAACAGTGTCCATCAAACAGCAAGAATAAGAAAAATCAATCTTTGAATATTATTAAGTCACAATAAAAGCATTAGGGTTTAAAGCTAACCTGCGTGTGGCCTTAATTATTTTTAAGGTACCAAATGAGATATATCAAAACCAGTTCAATAATGAATCCTTTCATGTTCTAGCAGAGTTATAGTCTGAATTGTTAACTTTTTTCATCAGAAACATTTAGCTCTTTCGAGATGAACTGTGGTGCCTTGTGAAACAGCTGAGCAGTGGTTTGTTCTTCTGCTTCAAAGCATGTTGTAAGCACTTCACTCCCTCTCTGCTTCACTCCCTAAAATTCTCACCGTGCTCTGTTCCAGATCTTTGTATATTTCTGGTGATTCATCCCATCTGGTATGTGTGCGCACTCGTCTTCTATTGGGTGTCAAATAACTGTAAATGAAACACCAAGCCTATCATGTTGCAAACCTTTCCAATCAGTCGGTCTTCACCTTTCCCTAGCCCACCAACGACTGGAATCCTGTCACCACTGCTGAGTTTATTTTCATATCATAGAGATTCTGTCTTATCATTCTTAAGGCGGAAGCTGCTCTAGCTGCCTCTAAAGCTGCTGAGGCCTGTCAAAGTGTGTAACAATAAGCAAGTTCTCTAGGATCATAAAACCCCCCAACACATCCATTTTTGGATTTGATAAAATGTGTCTGGTCCTGAATAGAAAATTATGAATCACTGATCCTAACTCTGTTTATAATTGCACCACTAAAAGCTTCTCTATTTCACTAATTTATTGTCTCTACCCCATCTAAGTCAGCAGGTACTGTGAGAAGTTGAGGCACGAGATGAGCCGGGACACCTGCTTCATCATGTCGTACGGCCAGCAAGAGGAGACCCGTCTGGAGGAGCTGTACATTGACACACTGATGGAGCTGTTGAACGACCGTAATGAAAGTCTGGGCTTCTTGGAGAGTCTGGACCAGCTCCTGGGAGACTCCGCGGTCTTCAATCCCCAAGGTGAAACCATCTATGTGATGGGGGATGCCGGTGTAGGAAAATCCATCCTCCTGCAGAAGCTCCAGAACCTCTGGTCCAAGAAAGAACTGCAGACGGACGCCATCTTCTTCTTTAAGTTCCGCTGTAGGATGTTCAGCATCTTCAAGGACACGGAACAGATCTCCCTCAGAGACCTTTTGTTCAAATACAACTGCTACCCAGATCACGATCCAGATAATGAGGTTTTTGACTACATCCTGCGCTTCCCTGAGAAGGTTATTTTTACATTTGATGGCTATGATGAGATTCAGGAGGATCTAGACCTGATGAATGTTCCTGAAGTTGTGTCACCAGAAGACAAGGCACACCCCCTCCAGCTGCTCGTCAGCTTGCTTTGTGGGAATCTACTCAAAGGCTCCCAGAAGGTGCTGACGGCCCGGACAGGGGTTGAGATCCAGAGTAGGGTGATCAGAAAGAAGGTGGCTCTGCAGGGGTTCTCCCCGGCTCATCTGAAGACCTACATTGATTTGCACTTTAAGGAACAGGAGCACAGAGAGCTGGTGTCTGTTCAGCTGGACGCTAGCCCCCACCTCTGTGGCCTGTGCTCCATCCCGCTCTTCTGCTGGATTGTATTCAAGAGCTTTAGACACCTGCACACCATGCACGATAGTTTTCATCTTCCTGAAACCTGCGTCACGCTCACTGGCATCTTCCTCCTGCTGTCTGAGGTGTTCCTCAGCCGCTCAGCCTCACCTGCACCATCACTGCTGAAGAAAAGAGTTCGGTGTGCCTCAGAGACATTCAAAGCAGGCCTCAGGCCGCTCGCAGCATTTGCCAAACTAGCACTTCAGGGTATGGAAAGAGGAAGCTTCATTTGCAGCCAAGAAGAGATCACTGTGTGTGGCCTGAAGGAGGAGGACCTGCCCCTGGGCTTTCTCAGACCTGTCAGTGAGTGTGATGCCAGTGGAAGCCCTGCTACTTTTGAATTCCTCCATATTACCCTCCAGTCTTTCTTGGCAGCGTGTGCTCTGGTGTTGGATGAGCAGGCTGCTGCCAGCTCCATTCTCAAGTTCTTCACAGAGTGCAGCAGGAAGCGAGATGCCTCCTGTCTGCCGTTTGACTTCTGTATCAGTGGCTCTTCGAAGCCCATTGAAAAGAATCCCTTTGCGAGCAATGAACACCTCCAGTTCACTAATCTGTTCTTGTGTGGACTGCTGTCCAAGTCTCACACGGGCCTCTTGGAGCATCTGGTATCTCCTGTGTTATTAAAAAAAAAACGGGCCTTGCTAAAATCCTACCTTTCCACCAGTGTCAAGTCCCACCTCCACGGCTTACCGCACTACAACGGCGATGATGGCAAGAAAGTTCACGTTTTGCCCAACTTCCTGTGGATGCTGAGGTGCATCTTTGAGATGGGGAGTAAAGACATCGCTCAGATAACAGCAAAAGGCATCACAGCTGGCCTCATCAAGCTGGGCTACTGTAACGTGTTCTCAGGTGACTGCACCGCCATCAACTTTGTACTGCAGCACCGTCAGAAGCTCCTGGGCCTAGACATGGACAACAACAACATCAGTGACTATGGGGTGAAGCAGCTGCAGCCCTCCTTTTGTAAGATGACTGTAGTGAGGTAAACAGTACAAACATGCTTTTAACTACCTTCTAATCTTTAGTGAGGGATATTCAGACTGATTTTCCAATGAACAGTTTGTAATTATCAAACATGGATCAATCTGCTCGTCTACAGATTGTGCGTCAACAACCTGTCTGACAGCAGCATTGAGGTTCTTGCAGAGGAGCTGTGCAAGCACAAAGTAGTGGAGGTCTTGGGGTGAGTAAACATGTCAGTGGTTCCCGTGTACTTCTGCATTCGTACACATTCTCAATGTACATGTGTTTCAGGGGTAACAGAAGTATTCGGATTGTTTTATTAAAGTAAAAGTACCAGTACAACAATCTAACTAGTACTCTGTTACAAGGTCTAAATTCAAAATCCTGCTTAAGTTAAAGAAACACAGTATTATCAGCAAAATGTCTTAAAACGCACAAGTACTTTATCCGCTGACAAATGTCCCTTGTGAGTGAAATATTTCTGTTCTAGATATGACATTATTACATTGTTAATACTGCTGCGTCAGTGTGAAAGCAGCACTTTACTGTTGTAGCTGGTGGAGGTGTACTGTATTTACATTTAGGTAGCTTTGTCCAGTGTTTCCCAGCCTAGGGTTAATGGAGTAGAAAAGAAAAAAAACAAAAACAAAGTTCTGCTGCTGTATACTTCTGTTGGACTCTTTTACAAGCGCTAACATCTGAAATGTGACAAGAGGCCCTAACTTGACACTGTTGGTTTTTTAAAATTTTTATTTTTATGTGCCAAAAATTTAAGGAATCATTGGTTTAGTTTCCAAAAATGCTTCTAAAAAAGATTATCATAAGCTTTTTGCCTGTTAATCGGAAGGTCAGCGGTTCAATCCCCGGCTCCTCCAGGCTGCATGTTGAAGTGTCCTTGGGCAAGATACTGAACCCTGAATTGCTGTTCCGCCAGTGTATGAATGTGTGTGAATGTTAGTTTTTGTTTGAGCACTTAGGCTCAGTGTATAAATATGGGGTGAATGCAGATGTAGTGTAAAAACGCTCTGAATGGTCGAAAAGACTAGAAAGGCGCTATACAAATACGGAGCATTTACATTTACTTTAAATTTAAAATCTTAATCTGAAATGTAGCTGTGAATTAAATGTATTGGTGTAAAAAGTACAGAATTTCCCTCTCAAATGTAATGCAGTACAAGCATAAAATAGTAGCATTAAATAGAAATACTCAAGCAAAGTATGAGTACCTCAAAGTTGTACTTTAACACAGGACTTTAGTAAATTTAGGTCCACTCAGTAAGCTGCTCTGAAGCTTTCAAACTAATCACTCAAACGTCTAGTTGGAGTTTAAACAGTTGTCATGAAATTGTATTTTCTCTAAATCTATTAAGGAGATCTTGTCCATGTTGGCTGATGTTGTTGACTTAAAAGTTCATTCTTGACTTTGGAAAGAAGGTCCTGAACTAACATACCACTGCTACCAGGGGAGGGACTTTTCTTTAAATGTTCTGATCATAGTCACAGTTTTAAGTCATGTTATTTCTAACGTGAAAAGTCGTATCCGTATCTTGTTTTTTATGTAAAATATATGGTTTCAGTTCCTGTCAAGAGTTTATGTCCTTTTTTGTGAAAAGAGGAATGTTTCCTTTGGAGTTTTGTGTAGTGGTAATATATAGTGGTTTGCATGAACAACATATGGAAATTCTTGTATTATTTCAGCAAATTATTATGTCACATCCATAAAGTTGGGTCCAGCTTGTAATGCGTTATAAATGTGTTGTCTCCAAGCCAAATCCAAGATAACCCTGAATATATAATCAGAAGAAGACATTATACAACTGTTACTGGCTGACCAGTAGTAGTTCTAACCATGACTAGTTAACCGAACCCCTCTGAGATAATTTATAATAGCATCATTTAAAGAATTAAGGTTACACTTGTAAAATGGTTCGGAGAGACACTGTGTCTGTGTAGATGACTTCATTGCTGTCAGGTGTGTGACATGGGAAACGTAATTGTATTTTTGGCTACACAAATGGTAGAGGTACAAAAATTCACTAGCAATTAAATAAGGGGATTCCCCCCTAAGAGTTAACGTGTCAGTGCTTAATGTTTTTCTGAGAGTGAAACAGAATCTTTAACCATAATTAGCATTTCTGTCCCCAGGCTTTACAACAATCACATCACGGATGTGGGAGCCAAGCTAGTTGCTCAGATAATTGAGGAATGCCCAAAGCTGCGAATTGTCAAGTATGTTTCTACAAAGAGAGAATCTGAATGTTATGATAATTATAATAATTGTACAATGAATATGTCATGGTCTTATGTCTATTAAATTGATGTTGACATTACTTTGTCCTCAGGATTGGTAAAAACAAGATCACTGGTGTTGGTGGGAGGTATTTGGCCAGCGGAATTCAGAAGAGCACATCTATATTTGATGTGGGGTAAGATTCCACCGCTGTTAAACTTCTCTGCTGTTGTAGATCATTTCCTCCAGAATATTCTTATCCCGCTGTGCTCATGAAAGCAGTGAGATCAGAAAGAGACGGCCAGTGTCCTATGTTAATTTGAGAGGCCAGGCAGGCTTAATGAAGGAAGGTTTTTTGATGGTACCAAAAAATGGGTTTTATCACCATCTCTCAAGTGACACAAAATATATGTAAGACATTATATTAAAGAAAAAAAATCAGGATTAAAATATGACAGACCAAATATTAGAATATGTCCATGTTTCCAGATAACTTGACAGGTTACCAGCTATAAAACATTGGTGAAAATCATATGGTAAATTGGAGGAGAGTTGTTTTAACATTTTAAATTAAAGCATGAAAACAGGCCATATGAATTGTCTCCTGGAGAGGATACTTTTGTGTTTTTCTATGCTTCCTGATGCAGATGACGGCTTTGATGTTTTTTTTTTTGCTGCAGAATGTGGGGGAACAGAATTGGCGATGAGGGAGCGGAAGCATTTGCAGAAGCTTTGAGACACCACCCACGTCTTACCAACCTCAGGTGAGAAGGCAGCTACTACAAATACAGCAAAAACCTACTGATTCAACCTCATTGAGTAAATAGTCGTTTTGCGTTTCTGGGTTCAAAGTCTCTCAGCCAATGGCATCACATCTGAAGGCGGGAAGTACCTGGCAGAAGCACTGAAAACGAACAACGTCCTCAGGATATTCTGGTAGGCATGCCGCTTAGTTTGAGCCAAATGATGCTGTTCTCACAGTGCTACTCTCTGTATAGAAGAACACGTCTGTGCTGTTGTAGGTTAGTGCAGAATGAGCTGACTGATGATGCCGCTGCACACTTGGCTGAGTTGGTCCAAGCAAACACAGGTTTAACACACCTCTGGTAAGGAAAACACACATGCATTAGCACACTCTGTATTTACTCGCATACCAGCATGGACGAGAACTTTGAATAGCCCGGTCAGACATTGATTGTCAGAAACTCACCTGCTTTGTATATTTGTCTGCAGGTTAATCAGCAACCAGTTCACTGTGGGCGGGATCAGACACCTTGCTGAGGCCCTTAATCACAACACAGCACTCAAAGAGATATGGTGAGGGTCAGGGGTTTTTCACAGCAACTTCAAATGGTGAAGATTTCCGAAAATGACAAAGCATTTTTTCAGTTGTATTAAATCATTCTACCAACGTATCACAGTTAAAAGTGAGACGATGAAACATTTGCTGAACAGCAGCCACATGTGACCTTTGCAGAATAATGCTAATACTAAAACATACTGAAACAGGTAGAAGTAGATAAACAAGTAGAAGAGAGACATGAAGTCAGTAAAATGCAGTTGTAGATCTCGTGCTGTATTTGATGCTTGTATGTTGTTCCTCAAATGTAAGATGCTTTGGATAAAAATGTAATGTAAAATGTTAGCAACAATATCTATGTCAAGTTTGCCACCATAAGTTATGGTCATACCAGACCAAGAAATACCAAAGCTAAAAAATTTTGGGTGTGGAAACTCAGAAAATTCTAAAAAATCTTGCAGATCAAAACATCAGAAATGTGTGGCGCGATTAGGAGACTGTAACCTTCCTCATATTAACACATGAAACAAACATAAATCCGATATTTTCAAAACGTTTTCTACATTGTTTCTCACCGTTTGAGGTTTAACTCGCACTTTTTTAATCTCGTTGCGCCTTCTTTTGTTCAATTTTGGGCTACATTTGGATGGATACCTAGCTAATTATTCGGACAGATACATTCCTTCAGTAAAAATGTTATCATACGGAGATCAGTCAACATAATACGTACTCACCTCTCTTAAGCCAGACATCATTCATTAATATCACAAACGGTCCACTGAGCAGTGCCGCATGAAGGCAGAACAGCATATTATACATTAACCACAACCACATACTGCAACAAATTAGCATAATACGCTGCTGAAGCTACATGTTGACAAGCAAACTGTTCTCACTGCAATAATAAAACAGGTAGCTCAAATCAAGCAATCTGATTGGTTCATAGTAGTGATAAAATGAGTGTATACAACGGGTATGACGTTGAATTTCTTCGCACAGATCTGTACCACTCCGCGACAAACAGGGTTCGAGTTATAGCCTAATCTGAGCTTAATTCTATTAAGGCTTATTTATTATTGCTCAAGGAGAGACGCAATTCCGCCCTTTCTGGTAGGTATAATAATAAAGTGTTACTATTTTACGCACTGCTGGCCGCCGGCACACAGTAGCAAGCCTTTTATCATATGGCTATATATAAGTTAAAGTTACCAAAGTCAATCTACTGGACAGTTTTTTAGTGGCTGCACAACAAACGGCAACGTGCAATTAGATAAAGATAAATAGTTCAAATTTTAGCCTTTGATATATGTTGCTTAGCAACCGTCATGCGCTATGTAGCCTGGTGGCATTACTTTTTGTTTTCATAAAGAAAATCTGTTGATGAAACTGTTAGCCTACTTTATTTTTGCCATACTTGGTAACCGTTTTATAAAAGCAATAGCTCACTTCACAGTTAAGGGGGTCAACGCCCCTTAATTGTGATATAACAAGTGTATATCATGGCCTGTTGTGAGCTATTTCTTAAACAAACCGCTCCAGGGTTCGTATGGAATCAAGCCGAGACCACCTCTTCTAGGCGATCTTGGCTCGGTTGTTTTGTTCGGGATCAGAGTGCGATTGTTGCGTTCACATAACGAGCCAGGCCAAAGGGGAAACGCCCCCTTGTTTCGGAACAGTGTCTCCAATCGATCCAGGTGTGAACGCACCTTAAATAAAATCTACTGATGAGAACTGTAGTGCATTTTTTGAATTTGCATCTGGAGGAATGTAAACAGCAACAGCAAAAACACCTGAGCATTCTCTGGGCAGATAGTATGGCCGGCCAATGATGATAAACATGTCTATCCACTTTGGCTGCGTTTAAGCACTAAGCATCATTTATGTAGACACACAGTCGCGCTCCCCTCGTCTTACTGGACTCCAGAGTCCTGTCTGCGCAGAGTAAACTCCTCCCATCAAGTGTTACAGCTTCCTCTGGTACGCTGCTATGCAGCCACGTAAAGATGAATGAATGTACTTCTGGATTCTGGGTGGATTCTTGGATGAAATCAGCAACTATAGTGCCGTATTTTGTTCTGAACAGCCAAGCTTTCTGAATTCACAACTGCTCTGATTTGAGCCTCTGACTCGCTGCTTCTCTATAGAAATGGTCAGATTTGTATTCCAACAGTGCAGACCAAGAGTACATAATGAAGGGGCACTGGAAAGCCCAAGCACTCAATGTATTAATTCTTCCTTTCTTTTATTAATTAAACAATACGTAGTTGTAAATTACAACAAGGGTTTGTCCCCCTAATGGTTATTACATTACAACTACTAATAACCATTAGGGGGACAAACCCTTCACAGCATCAGGGCCATTTCCATGTGTACTCGCTCTTTTTGCATGAACATGTTTTGAAGTGAATTAATGTCTGATCATGTTCCAACAGTGTGAAAGGGAACCAGCTGTCTGAAGAGGAAGAGAAACAGTTTGTGACAGAGAAAAGGCTGCAGTTCCACTGATTGGGCACCCATGTGAGAAATGAGTAATGTTTGTGTTGCAGAAAATATGTGGTGTGTATTCACAATATGCATGTATTATTGCGCCTGGCTGTGGGCACAAAGTCACACTATCTGCTTTAATGGACTGCTGTATATTCATTGTTGATGAAGCCATTTTTGCACTGAGGAAACTTTCTGTTTCATGTTTCTTGTATAGGGAATGTTTACGTGGAATTTTGACAAATGTTTGACAATTTTACATGCTCTGTTACATAAAAGGAAGTGGAAGCTTCCAGTTTGAAAAACAAGAAGAAAACTAACCCACAAATTTTGTATAGACTGTATGTGCATGTTTTCATTTGTATATAAAACAGTAACTTCATTTTATTTATTATATGACTGATACTCAAAGTGTTTTCCAAATCGCTGGTGGAATGTGTAGAGGTGCACTTCAGTGTGAAGAGAGTGAATGAAGGAAGACAGCATTATCATAATGGTAAAACATTAAACAACATCACAACATATTCTTGTCTTTATGTCCCTGAGCGTATGTTTCCCTCTATAGGAAAAGATCCAATCGTAACAGGAAAGGCACAGGCGGCAGAGATGATCACAAGTCTTTGAGCTAGGGCCCAAGTCAAGTCTCAAGTCTCTCATGATTATGAGTGTTGTATCACCTGATGCGTTCAATCCAGGCTCCTTAAAAAACTGCATAGCTATAAGGGATTCTGTAACTGTTACCTGTTTTTAACCAACAGAGCACAACCATGTAATGTGCAATGCAATTAAAGACACCTTAAACTACTGTAAGACAACACATGCTGCAGGCTCTCAAACCCAGTGTAACGTTAACTAAATAAAACTGTAACGTTACATGATCAACAATAAACCTGTAACCTGTTTGCAGCCAACGTTAATAATTAACATGACGGCAGCCAGCGGGATGTAAATGATTACGTTAATGGACCGCAACAAGTTTGGCAAGCAAACAAATTTATCTTTTCATAACGTCAGTTAACCTCCCGTAAGTCGTAGCTGAAGCAAGAAGCAAGCTGAGCTAAACTTGTTTACTCACTTGAGGTTACTAATCTATTTGCGTTCAATGCTTCTTTGTTTGGGCCTTGTTGTATGAAGTTTTAATGCCAAAGTTTAGGATGAATGGTGCAGCAGCTGTTGATGTTGTCCTCTCTCAAATGGGGAGGGAAATAAAATCAAGCCCATCAGACGTTAAAAATAAACATTGTTCACGAGTCCCCTCTTTTGAGGACGAGTCTCAAGTCGAGTCTGAAGTCACTCTGCGTGCGACTTAGGTCGGATTGAGTCCGAGCCTCAAACTCAAGTCCTCATCTCTGACAGGCGGAACTAAAATGAATAATGGCTCTGTCCCATTTAAGTGTTTCTACTGTATAACTGTAAGCCAGCATGGACAATAAGGCACCCTGAAACCCACACCTAAATGTCTGACGGCCATTATTCAGGTTGCAAATTACACCCGTGCTTTCTCTATTATATTTCAAAATGTCTGCTGTGACAAAGGCCTATTATTGTGCATCAAACTCTGGATCTGCATTTCTCATAGTGCCTCTCAATTGCATCTTTCATTGGAACCCCCCCGCCACTTTTTACAGGCTGAATAATACTACAAATGACTATTAAATTGACTTTTCCCTCTAAAATGCATGCAGTGCACCTTTTAATACTACTACTTGTGGGTTGTGGGTCTTGCTCTTTCTCAAGAGAGCATGCATAAAAGTAAAGGTATTCACTGAACTAAGTTTCATTTGACAGATACATATTTGTTAAATAAGTAGAACAGGACATTCTTCAGGTTGATTAGACAGCAGGATTTTTACTTAAAAATTTGGATTAGCATCAAACACAAAATATCATGGCATAAAAATGCAATAAGTACAAGAGGATGATTGGTATTCAAAGGACATCGTTCTACAGAAAAGAAATGTTATGTTTATGATTTTCTGTCATGTCAGTTACATTGAACAGCACACAGTCTTTGTTACATTTCATAAGGTAATGCTTGTTGGGGCTCACTGGCTAGAAATAAATTATGAAAACACCAAAAAGTCTGACTGATTCTAAAGTAGCTCATATAAGGCTCATAAGGACTGTATCCTCAGTACAGTTCAAGAATTAGACCTACAAATCTCCCGGTCCCTCCCAAACTTGAGCCAATACACAGTTTCTTTGAAATCACTTTGGCTCAAACACCTTTAACACTTACAGACAGGGGGTTTCTCTCTCTGTGTGTGCAAATAGGGGAAGATGGTGGTTGCAAAAGAATATGTAGTAGAACAGAAGAATCTGATGCCATCCAGTGACAGTCTTTACCAAACCCGGAGAGACGGGGGACAGACTCACTACAGTCATCATGACATCCTCACAATATATTGTATATGTTCTCTGTACAGATAGGATATGAACTTGTGTCTCTACCTTCATTTCTTGCTACAGACTGATTGGAAAGGTTTTCAGCTATTTGACAAAACATTCTCATCACATCATTGGTGTTTCGAAAGCTATCAGCCACGTCTTGTGGGTTTAGTTGGTTTTGGTCTTGTTGACGGACAGCTGATCAAAGTCATCAACCAGGAGTCAGCGGATGGCTGAAGAAAGATCAGGGGGACCAAAACTGCAACCGTCAAATAAAAACAACAATAAAACATCAACTTTAAAAACCACAAGGACAGAAAATTTAATGTTGTCATATCTATTAAGGCCAGATCTCTGTAACTTAATCCTCTAAAATTCACAATTCAAATGAAAATGAAAGGACATGACTAGTTGGTGTCACGCCTGCTCACAGAATCCAGCTGTATGATCAGATCAAGTGAGAGATGAAGGTACAACATGAGATGTCCATAAATCAGCCAAAGAGAGCATGATGAGAACTACAAGACTCTGTAGCACCGCTCTGTGGTGGGACAGTGTGTGACATGGCTCAGCTAATCTCCGTGTGGCTGTCAGGTTTTACAGTGTGATGAAACAGTAGTCATGAGTGTGTCAGGGAGGATCCCAAAACTCCAAAGTTCACTTGTTTGTTTCTTCCAGTGGCCCAGAAAGGATCCCTCAGTGTTATCCCAGAGAATGACATAAGTTGAAAAATAAAAAAGCACTTGTAGAGTTAAAACAGTGTAAACCAAGTCCAGTTGCCCTTGACTTTAACCTTCTTTGGATAACTACGACCTGGATGACTGAGTGTAAAGTATTATGACATATAGGATGAAGGTCCTTTAAAGGGATACTCCACTAATTTTATGTTGTATTTCAGTATTCCCTTTTATTGTTAAAAAAACAATTACATCAAAGATCAATACTTTGTTTTTTTTTGATGATTTGGAATTTGAAGTGGGGTGAAAATCGTATGGTGCCATCCGCTGCTACAGTCACCTTTCCCATTTCAGTCTGGAATAACAGTTAACTTTGTAGTTTTTTTTTAATTTAAAATAAGAGAGTGGCTGTTTACCATATTGTTTTGAGAAACTGGATAAAGTATATTGAAGTATTTCAGGGGGGAGGTCCAAAGAAAATATTAATCAGCCCCAATCCTCACTCGATTCCTACAGTCCCTACTTGACAGCTTCTTTCACGATGCCACGTTCATGTCATGCTGGATGGAAGGTAGAGATGGGAAAGATGTTTACATCATTCACATTGTCTTACAACTCAAAGGTTCAAAATCCTCTGCTTTGCCAACACAGCACTGTATCCAGAAAATATGGATATAATTAGTTTGAGCAACAGACTTTGGCTGATGTGAGGCATCCATTTGTTTGCTTATTCAGGCACTGTCATATGATAGAGCCATGTTGGATATAATGGAGCTTTCTGAAAACCCCGACTTGGATGTTAACATTAACTCTACGCACAAGTCGGAAAATGATAATTACACCCCGTTTGCAGGCTTTGCATTTGAAATTTTCTTCAATCCCCACCTCCTTTCCACATTCAAAGTGTACTTGGGCAAGACAAACTATGAAAATGATGGTGTCTCCAAAATAAAGCTCCCACTTTATTTTGCCTTACCATTCCCCCCATACCATGTGCTCCTACCTGGAGGCAGATTTAAAAAAAGAGGAATGGAGTGGCGAGAAAAGAAAGCAAGAGAAAGTGGAGGCCATATGGGACACATCTCTCATTAACCAACATTTTTGGCAGCTTCATCATGCCCTCATTAAGAACCTCCACAGGAAGCTGGAACTATACACGATTGCTTTTAAAGTTGCTGTTATGGAAGAAGTTTATTTGTTTTTCCAGTATGAAAATAGTCTTCGGAGTGGTGGGACCAGCCGTGGGCTCTGAGTCATAGGAAAAAGGGAGGTTTTGGAGGAAAAGGAGTTCCACTGGAGCTTTGGGATCCACACTCGGAGTTCATATCCTCTGGCTGATGATGAGCTTCAGTGAAATCAATTGAGATTGTTTTTCCACTGGATTAAAAGCCTGTACACTCGGTAGAGGTCTTCAGGCAAACCTGACCCCATGAAAACCCAAGAAACAGACTGGGTCAATGTGCCAGGTCCAGTCATCCCAGCGTGCCCTAGTCCTGTGTCTTGGCCAACTTTATTTGGTGCTGGGTCTGTATAAAAGCAAGCACTTTCCAGGACCCAAGAACCAGTCTGCTGTAGTTTAGTCAACTTATCCGCAGGCAAGAGAGTGAACGACTTCCAGCATGACGACAACCATAGAGGATTCTCCCACACCCTGTTATCACCATGGACTTTTAGTAGAACAAGTGGACCGAAAGTTGCTTGTTTCTACTAATGTCATAGTAAAGGATCCCTGCGCTCGCTCACCCTAGGTACGTTTAAACCAGCAAAATCTGAATTTCCAATTGATGATAAACTGGCTGGCAGTTTGTGGGGTGCCCTGGTGCCTCTTGCTTTCTGTTATCTCTCTACTGTCAGCTGTCAATGAAGGCGTAAACCCCCCAGCAATACTTAAAACAGTGTTTGAAGTTCACATCGACTTTATCTTGCACAAAAGTGAGAAGCTCACATGTTTCAGCTGAAGTCTCCAGTAACTGGCACAGTCCAGACTCCTTTAAACAGGTACAGTAAGCAGTGTCAGCTGCACACAACTGGAAGAAATCAAACCCTGTAACAGAAATGGATCACACAGAGCAGTTTACAAGGAAACCGTGTGAGATTACATTAAAGCGGTCCTGTGGAGTTTTTTTGTAAAGAAACTAAAGATTTGTTTACATTCAGTGTTACCCAGTTTGTGTGCGTCCCTGAGCTCTACCAAATGCGTCGAATGCATTTCCGTTCTCATGAAACATTTGCAAAACCAGCATTGTTTAAATTCAAGTTTGAGTGCTTGCACTCTATTTTTCTTTTTATAGAATAAGCTCTATAGTGCTACTAGAGGGGAAAACTCCACAGGGAACCTTGGAAATTTGGGTTTATGGAAAAACAAAGAATAAAACAAAAGAAATCAGAAGTTCTGGTATAAAAGAGGACCATGTTTGCTGCACAGATAATCCTCACTATCTCCAGGTTTTCTTATTTTCGGTTTCGGCAATCAGCTCTGTGTGTTTCATTTCTATTACAGCGCTTGATTCGTTCTAATTCTGTGCACTGCTCACTGCACCTGTTTAAAAGAGTTTGGACTGTGACACTGAACCTGCGCACTGACCAAAGGCACAGCTGAAATGTGACACAGCAAATGTGAACTTCCAAATAAGCTCTGAGTGGGAACCAGTTTCAACATATATGTAGCAACTCAAGTATGATCATCTTCTGTAATTTATACACAGCCTATTTAAATGATATCTGACTTTGACAAACAACGGCAAATTTTTAACCATGAAGTAACAGAAAACAGGTGAACGAAACAGACATAGCAGAATGGAGCAAATATAACAGTCACTTTCTTGTTTCTTGTTATGAGAACCTAATTATATTTTCCATGTTATGATATATTTATCTTATTACGACACGCCAACTTCAGTTCTAAGAACAAACATTATCACTTTATCGTGTCATGTCACAAAACTTTCTTGTTATTACAAAAAAAAAAATCTTTTAAACAAGAAAAGAATCCTCCACATTGTTATAAGTCACTGTAACATGAAAAATACGTTGTTCTAAAGTGAAAATGATCTTATTAAATCAAGAAAATGTTCTCGATATAACGACAAACTGAGCCAGTATTATTCCTGTCATTGGGGCGACGATACTCGACTGTAGGTTGAGGCTGGTAAGTCAGAGATCCCTTTCAGGATTGGGGACAGGTTTTGTGCCAGAGGACCTCTACTCTATGGTATATGATTAAAAAGCACTGATGATTGTGTGTGTGTGTGTGTGTGTGTGTGTGTGTGTGTATGACAATATTCACAGTTGATTGGCACCATTTTTGCAGCAGCTTCAGTTTTGAAAATGTGCGAGCCGCTTGTGCAGACAGATATTTCTGCTGCTTTCTCTGGCTTGTTTCTCCTGGACTGGTAGAGTGGCAGTGGTGGTGAGATGGTCCTGCAGGTCCGTCCAGTCGGTCCGGCTGGCTCTGCTGACAGTCTGGACTCCTCTGTACCGCCCTGCTGTGGCTGGGCATCACAATAACAAGGCACTGGTAGACACTGATGCTGAAGGAGGAGGGGAGGGACAGAGGGGGAGGTGATACTCCACCCCCCCACCCCCCCGAGCGCCCTCCGCTCCGCCCTCACCTCCAGGACCATGTCCCCCTCCTCCAGTGTACAGTCAGCTGACATCTGCTGTCCAATGGCCACTCAGGAAGAAGAGCCCTGCCTGTCAGGATGTCCCCGTGTGGCTTTGAGTGTCAGGGCTGGAGAGGATATGAGGTGGAGATCAGTCCGTCCAGTCCGAGACTGAGCGTGGATCGGCGACTCAAACATAAACACAAAAGTCTGTATCCCTGAAGATTGCTTAAATGAGATTTGGCACACCGTGGTACTACATTATTAGTTGGGGTGGGGGTGTGGGTTAAACTGATCACAGTGTCCAGCAGTCTCCCTGGATCCACACTTCATTTTGTAGATCCCTCTCATTGTAAAGTACCTGTCATCAAACAACCAACAGAGAATATTAAAAAAGAAAAATCTTACAGGGACCATCAAGAAAACAACCTGGGATGTTTGGAAATACTTCACCTGTGCAAAATAAAGCTTCAATCTGATGGATGCTCCGGACATGATCTGTTCACTTCAAACCACTCATCGATACAGCTGGAGGGTGGTGGGGGGGCAAGGAAGAAGACATGAGTAATAGATAATACAGTGTTCATGGTGACAACTATGGTGAAGGGTGACCGCATCAAATGTTTTCCATATCACACACAGCATTTGCATTTGAAATTAAACAATGTCAAACTATGTCACCCTGACCATAACCACAAAACTGATTCTTCGATGTATCGCGATGGAAGATTCTGACTCGATTAACAAATGTCAAAAAATGTATCGTTTAAATGTTAATTGATAACGTCATGTTGAGGCAAAGCAAAAGCCGGAACTCGGACCGTCTGTGGCGCGCACACATGAGAAACCAGTGTTCCTCCTGTATTCAGCACACCACCGCTGCGGAATGAATAACCACCCTACTTAAATGTCACACAATCATTAATATCAATGCTCTGTCCTGTATACATACTGTACATCCTGAGGACTGGTTGTTAAAGAAATGAGGGACCATGGAGCTGAGGTTAATGAAGTAAATTAGGGATGCAAACTAGTACTTTTAAGCTAATTAGGAGATTTTCTTATGGATTTTAATGCGCTAATTAAATGCTTAGGCAAGGCAAGTTTATTTGTATAGCACATTTCAACAACAAGGTCATTCAAAGTGCTTTACATAAAACATAAAAGCAACAGGGAAATATAAAAAAGTTTAAACGCAACATAGGGAAATTGAAAAAATACACATTAAAATATAATAAAAGTTACAGTGCAGTGTATAATCAGGGTTAAAAGAGTTAAATGGAAAATAAATACAGGCTGAGAGGTAGAGCAAATAATTGAGTTACAATTATTTTGAAAAGAGAATAAACAGAGAAGTACACTTAATCTACTCTCTCTAGCTAGTCTGTACTCGGGTCCATAGCAATCTTTGGGTCCACTGAAACTCCCAAAACCCCCGGACACTACAGAGAAACCAGGACATGTAATTATCCAGATTCTGTATAGAAGAAAATTATGCATCAAGATGCATAGGTAATTGTTGTAAAATCGCGTCACAGCCCTCTGAATCGTAATCAAATCGAATCGTGAGGTGCAGAGAGATTCTCACTCCTAGCATAACATTATTTAACACTATATTTCCAAATGTATTGGGACACTCCTGTCCCAATACATTTGGGAGGCTGTTTTTTCATGATGTGGTCTTTATTGAGGGAAATCTTAATGCTACAGTTTAGACAACAGTTGTTCCAACTGTTTCTGTTTGGCCTCTTCCTTTTTCAGTATGACAATGTCCCTGTGCATAAATCCAGCTCTATAAAGAAATGGTTTTCTCAATTTGGTGTGGAAGAACTTGACTCACCGGCACAGAGCTCTGACCTCAACCCTATCAAACACCTTTGACATCAACTGGAACAGAGATTGCGAGCCAGGCCTTTTCATCCAGCGTTAGTGTCTGACCTCACAAATGCTCTTCCGGATGAACGGGCAAAAATTCCCACAGACACACTGTAAAATCATTCAGAAAGCCTTCCCAGAAGAGTGGAAGCTGTTATGCTGTAAGGGGTGAGGGGGGGGGACTCCATGTTATTGCCTTTGTCTGCTCCCTCTGACAGTGAGAGTAATTACACAGTGTCACACGTGTTTCTGATGTATAGACTCTGCCACATTGAGTGGCTGCTCCCCCCTCTAGCTGTGGCAAACAAATCATTGCTAGTTGGTGTAAAACACATCACTATTGGTTCACCAGCATGGGAATGTTGTCACAGACACCACAATGATAAACTCTGGTATGCTGCGAATACAGAGATTTACCTGGCAGTGAATCAGCACACTGAACTCGTTTTGCGGTGGCTTTGTTCATGCATATGTAAAAGTATTGCACTCTAGCTTTAAAAAGAAATACAGGGATGCAGCGTTTTGCTAAACAGAGCTCCGTACCCTTTATGGTAGATGCAGAGGCAGGGCAGGCGAGCAATGGTGTCTCCCTGCACCAGCTCCTCCAGGCAGATTGCACATTCTCCTGCATCCTTGGTCAGGACATCCTCTGGAAGACAACAGACATTTCACACCGCAGGCATCAGTAAGGATTATAGGCCCCCCCGCAGCAAAAAACACATTTTGTAGAGCTTTACTACTTTAAAGCCTCTGTCAGACTGCATTTATTTGTTATCATATTTGGCTTTAAATTTATTGTTTGTTTACCATTTTCTGTCATAGACTCTGTTTTTATTACAACTTTTGTTTATTTATTTAGTTTGAATCTATTTATATGAAAAAATATAAGCCAGTATATCAATTGTCAGATTTGTTTTACTTATTAATCTATAATATCCAGAAATCCAGTGTGGAGCTGGTTCTACTTTTTACTTTGATTCACTGCAGCCCACTAGATGACAATGTTTGTGTACAAAGTTCACACTTCGTCCTGGGGGTGGTGCTACAGGAAAGCTCTGAATTTCCTCTTGTGACAATGACTGTCAACAGCAAAATTCATGGCAATCTGGCTACTAGAGATACAGCATGTTGCAATGAATAAAAGTGATGGATCAGGGGGGCGTAGGCCTTAACATTTGACATGGGCCTATCAAAAGAGACCCACATACACATGTCTGACACACACACACACACACACACACATACCACCACTATTAAAAAAAAAAATGGCTGATGCTTTTATCCAAAGCGACTTACATGCTATATCTGTCAGAGGTTGGACGCCTCTGCACCAACTAGGGGTTAAGTGTCTTGCTCAGGGACACATTGGTGTCTCACAGTGAGAATTGAACAAAGGCATGTGTCTGATCCACTGCGCCATCGCCATAACACCATACATTTAACACAGAGAAGGAAAAGTCCACATCTCCATTATTTGAGTCACATACAGTTTTGTTGAATAATTGAAATGAAGGTCAGATTTTGTAAAAGACTGGCACTAATGATGGTATGATGGTGTGTGTGTGTGTGTGTGGGGGGGGGGGTCTCCACTACTGCCTTCTAACTTATCTTGTTTATGTGTACTCAAGTTGTAATGCTGGTATTTCCAAAACTTCCCTGAAGGCAGCATTCATTTGTTAGCTCACTTTACAGTCTTTTGATATCAGTGTTAAAAAACACTTCTCTGAGTTAAATGGCCACCAGGAAAACTCTACGTCTGCCAAACCCCTGTATACAGTCTGTGTGTCAACAGCGTGTGTGTACACACTCAGCAGTTTTCATCTTTTCCTGCTCTGCATTTCATTGGTCCGGGTCTAAAGTGGAAGCGTGCGCACCATTAAACCCATCACCTGCAGCAAAACACAGAGTCATTAGAACTGGCCTTATGTAACAGTGGATTAACCCACATAGGCCTGGAAAAGCCAGTTATTATGGGCTTCAGTACATGGCATCCTGCTCAGCTGAGGGGAAAACATCTTTAACGTACTGACGGGGCAGGTCATTCATTCACACAGTCAGACACAGAAGGAGAGAGGATAGTTACACTGATGATGTGCGGATATTCACTATTAAAAATGTTTGTTTTAGTTGCCCAACACTGGTGATCTCCTCACACTAGGAGATACAGGGAGACAGGAGGTGTCATTTGTCTGTTTGTGGTTTCACATGCAGTCAGTACTGCATCTTCATGTGATGCACACCAGCCCAGAAAGACTTTTTCCAATTAACAATCACTGCGGAAGTCAATGATGCTACAGGGAATGATGAGGACAAATGCAGCACAGAGTTTAAGAGGTGGGATTATGCTCATTTTCAGGTTAAAAATCCTATTCAGGGGTTGGACCAGAGCAGGGTTACATGGTTTAATTTTTAAAAAACACTAGGGCTGTCCCCGACTTTTGTGCGCTGCGAAGCTGCAGAACTGCAGTCTCTATTCATTCAAACGTACAGTGTAAATTTCCAGCTAAACTGAGCTTTATTGAAGACCCTTCTCTCTCTCTCTCTCTCGCCTGCCATTCACTCGTCTTGTGCAGAGTTGCGTTCATGCCGTGCTGCCGACACCTGCATGCACGTCGTGGTTCCTCGCGGGTCTATTTGAAGGAGCCGGCTATTTAAAAACAATTTAACATTCCTTGTGTGGTTCATCAATGGTGGTAAATTATCCGAAAGTCCCGCGAGGTGCGGACAACTCGGCACAACACCAGTGAAGCTGGGGCTTCGCTCGTCTCTTCAGCAAGTGTTCCTCTTTTGCCACTTCACACATACACGCTACGCCTACACATTCGCACTGACGACCCAAGGTTAGGGTTACAATTTTGGATTTATTCACGCACTTTAAAAACATTTCTTGAAAGTTTTATTCTTTTTATGTTTATTTACAGCATTAAACGTTGAAATGTATATTGTAATAGGCTGTATATTAACTTATTGAGAGTATACTGGTAGTTTTATGTGACATCACATGGCCAAAATGGCGTGATCCTTGTTTCGCTGCTAAGCTTCAACTCTGAGATTGACAGTCGAATCAGGCTCCACCCATCGAAGTATCGAATCTTCGACTATTAGGGGTCAGCCCTAAAAACCACCATATTTTTTTTCCATACTGCACATTGCTGCAGCTCTTCTTTTCACCCTGTGACGTCACAGGGAGTAAAGGGAAACGGCTGGACTACAAACGAGCTGTTTTCAGGCAGTTCAGAGCAGAGTTTTTTCTGGGAGATGCGGTGGCTTTTTCACTTTGCAAATGTATTACAAAAAAGGTATATAATTCAATAAAGGAGAGGGGAAAAGGCAAAAAGCAGAATACCACCTCTTGAACTTGTAAAGTCATCATTTATCTTATTTTGGCAATCATATCGTGTCCTTGCAGCCATGTAGCAAAAGTTCTAGTGGCCGGGAGTCAGGACGTGGTTAGCTTGGTTTAGCATAAAAACTGGAAGATGAGGTGTGGTTTTGAACTTGGGACAGAGTCTTGCTAGCCGTTTCCCTCTTTCCAGTTTTTATGCTATGCTAGGCTAATCACGTCCTGAGAGGGATATTATTCTTTCCATCTCACTCTTGGAGAAAAATGTTGCATTTTGTTTTTGTTTGTTTGTTTGTATTTTATTCCACAGTTGTGTCTTTGCACATTGAAAATGATTGTGCAACCAACATGTTAGGCACTTCTTGGTTCTGTGCTCCCAAATGTGATACAGATGTAGTGCACAGGACTGTGGGCTTTGTTTGTAGCCATAAGTTGCTTTCCAAGCGGTGTTTTGCTTTTTGTAGTTGGACAGTGGGCTTAAATGTCTGCTAGTCGGTATCTACTGCCTCTGATGGGATGGAGGGTCAATTACATTTTATTTACTTAACTTTAAGAATGTCATTTTTACCATTATTTCATTTTACGGAGGACTTTTCCTGTCCCGTGAAGGTGTAAAGGCTTGTAAAGATTCTAGATTTTATTGGAATTGCTTTGTGTGATAAGAGTCAAACGTACCATTAAATACGGTCACAGATTGTGTATCAGTGCATTCAGTCTAAAAATAATCATGGTGGATCCTTTACAAAACCATTTTGGCAACCCTGTTAAAAAAACAGACGGCACTTGATGACCTTTGACCTGTGTGACGACCCCGGGGGGAAGGATCAGGGAGGAGGCTGTGCTTCAAAGAGTAGCTTTTACTGCGGCAGCTTGACCTCTGAGATGTGGTTTCTATGTGTAGGGTGTTTACTAGAATGTACAACTCGGCTCTGACAGCCTCATCAGTCTGTTTCACAGCAGGTTATAAATCTGAAATGAGGTCATGAAAAAATCTTGTGCTCTATAACGCAGTTTAATGGAAACACACACACAGACAGGGGGAGCTGTGATGTTATGTACGTATGACAGCTGCTGTTTGTGTGTGTCTTTGTTATGAACCAGCGGTGGATTTGTTTAGAGAAACCACAAGTCATAGTGACATGAGATTCTGGGGAATTTACACCTTTGTCGTTTCCTGTTTCTGCCGTGCTGGTTTCCAGCAGTATCATTCTGATTAACTCTGTCAATCATCACCACATTGTGTCGGCGACAGATGCTCCTCTTGTATAAAGTCTTGAGTGGTAAAAATATCTGACCAATTACAATGATGCAGTTAATACTTGACTAACATGTATATTCTCAAGATAAAACATAACTGTGATGTTGTTTGGAAATTGATATATTGCATATGCTAGTGTGTGTGTGTGTGTGTGTGTGTGTGTTACAGTGGAGGCCTGTCCTTGAACGGCCTAAAGCAAACAACTGAGAGGAACATAAATATGCTGATAACACATCTTGAGGGTCATATGAGTCTGTGTGCATGTGCGGCCTGAGCAGCCGATAAACGTATTAGAAAGGCCACAAACACAACAGAGCAGCTGTGACCACCGGGCTAACGGACCATGATATGGGATCACACAGTCTATGGATCACACACACACACACACACACACACACTTTGTGTTAACATGAACCGTGTTGCTTGTTAACCCTTCTCTCTAGCGGCTCTGTGATGCTGTGCATGTTAGATTAGTGTGTCAGCATGCAAACGTTTGCTAAGTACCACTAAACATGAACTACAGCTGAGGGTATGATTCCTTTCTAAGATATTTGGTCATAATATCGTCAACATGATTACTATTCATCCTGAGGGGCACTCAAAACGTCTGTACCAAAAAAAAACAATGATGTCTGAGCCACATGCTCAAGTTTGACTGCTGACAGACACTCTATTAATCTTCACCTCTTCTCATGAATTCTTGATGCTGATATTTAATATACCATTACAGTCAGATGTGAGCTCACACATACTGATCCATGTAGTGATTATGCAGCACATTCAGAAGCTAAACAAACACTCCATCAACTTAAATTCTTTTTTTATGGAGGCAAAAGTCACTTGTTTCAGATTTTGAGTGAAAGGTCTGGACTCTACCAAACATAAACACACACATACACCACTTCTTAAAACGAGCAGCCCCCAGATTCAACCTAAGAAGAGGCAACTTCTGTCTTTGAGAAAGTGTGTGGGCTCAAATACAGGTGCTCTCCATACTGTGGGGAACTGATCAGACCATGATCATCATGTGACTGATAGACAGGAAGACGGAGGAATCTGTGCCAGCTGAACAGGAAGTTGGCTTATGCGAAGAGGAACTGCCCCCTAAAACCTTCAGCTGACAGGGAAATGTGGAGGAAAGTGCGCATGTATAAGCTGAAATGTCTTTTCACTTGAGTGTGTTTTTGTATTTATGTTCTGAGCGCAGAGCACTGGGTCACGCTGCGGAGAGAAATAACTTTATCATCATGATAATAATAATACATTCTGAAACACAGACATGATGTGAACACACCAGAGATGCAGTTCTCTGCTGTACTGTGTTCATTTTCCTTGATGGTTTTGAGTCTAGAAAAAGGTTTCACTGCTGTCATGTTCCTATCCAGACACAGGGAGTAAAAGTAGGTTATCCATGCTGAGATGGAAACGCAGGACGAGGTGATTTGTAACGAATGATCTTAAAACAGAAGAATCCCCACAAGTCCCGTCAGATTCAAACCAAAGCCCGAGGTGAGCCTAGTGATGTACTTTTACCAACATGTACGCATAGACGTGCCGCTAAAACATGAGCAGCACTGTTAAAGTACATCCACTAGCGGGCGGATCAGGGTAGGATTCCTGGTCAACACTACAATATCTTCATAAGTTCAAAAAAAGTCTTATACTGACTCTTCATGTAGGTCTTCATTTCAGCCTCTGTCTGAAACAAGCTGTAGATGCTCCTGTCTCTTTAAGGGCCCCCTTCTCAAAGCCCACTGTCTTCTGATTGGCCAAGACCTGAAGCATGTTACCAGGCTGCTATTGTTGTTGCTAGGCAGAACAGACAGACCGAGCGTTGCTGTGCCGTTGCTGTGCGGGGCAAATGACCATACATGTAACACCGGCTCAGTCGTAGAACGGAGCCGTTGGTGTAAAAAGTTTAAAACAGAGCATTCAGGAGGAAATCTGAGGTTTTTGCTCACTGGGATTTCTTTTAAATGCTTTTACCTCATTTTTTTAAGCTTTGATCATGTTTAACATGAACATCCAACATTGTAGATAAGTCATAAAATGTGGAAAAAGTCATAGACTGTATATAAGAAGTGGACGTAGTCATCGTGACGTCACCCGTTGGTTTAAGGACTGCAATTTTGAAGCCTTGAGTTTGGCCCATAGGGCACTGCCATGTTGAGTTTTTGCAACCAGCAGCACCAGACATGACCATATTTGGACAAGACGGCTAACGGCCGTGCGCGGAGGCCATGGTAACGACCTTTCAATCATAGATAATTCCGCCCTGAAGCATACTCTGCTTTATGGTAAAATAAATGGAACCATAATTACTAAATGAACCATTATAATTACTAAATGAACATCATTTTGTGTTGAAGAAGACATCGAGACCATAAACTTATGAGGAATGTGTTTACGGAGGTAATAAATGAGGTGAGAAGTAGGACCATTTTACCATTATTTCTAATGGAGCTGGACTTCTTTTTGCAACCAGAAGTGTCGCCCCCTGCTGGCCGTTCAATAGAATGCAGATTTAAGAGACTTCCACGTTCGCATCAGATTGCTGGCCGGAGAGGGCTAAAGAGGTCTAGTAAACTCCAAGAACCCCAAGATTTTTTAATTTCCAAACTTGTAGTCTCCATCTCCAACTGATAAAGGCTTTATACAACGTTTTTCATATCTGCAGATGTACTCCTTAACACCTGAAAAAAGATGTGTTGCACCTCTGTGCTCTGAAACCCGTTATTCTGACGAATACCTGCGTGGCCAATAGAAATGGGGCGTCCAGCCAAGTACAGAAAGCAAAAGGAACAGGTTCTTCTGTCTGTGATGACACAAGTTTTGTTCATATGGAGACATCAAAGCGGTATCATGGAATCATGGATATCTGTATCAGTTTATATGTTGGTCAATAACTAATAACAGTTTTTCAGTACAGGGACGCTTTAGAAGTTTAGCCTGGGCATCAGACTGATTTGCCATTTTGGTTTCACTTCATTATTTAGTCTGTCAAGTTCATGTTAGTGGTTTCCTGATTACTTTGAAAAGGTTTATTCTGTCTAAACCAATCAGTAGCAAGTGACTTATCTGTCCTGCCAATGTTATTTTGGGTCGACAGGGAAGCTGTGGAAGAGTCTATCAGAGTTTTACAAGATAAATCCTCAAATAAAAAAACACCCCACAGATATTTAATTAACTGTCATAGAGGAGTAAAGAAATCAGACAATATTCACATTCACCTTTATTTCCCCTTTAAAAAACGACTGAAACTGATTATCAAAATAGTTGGCAATTAATTTCATAGTTAACAACAGCTCTACAGTTAACTTACGTCTTTTACTTAACGTCAAAGATTTATGAGTTATTATTTCTGTACGTGAACTTCTCAACAACCTCTACAACTGCACTGATCTCACCCACGCTTGTTGCCATACTTGATACGTGATATTTTTCTGGCTCTGGTACAGGAAGCTGACAACCCCATTTGTAATCTCCCCATTCAAAGCTCTGATCGGCAGCGTGCCGGTAGCACAACATCATAACTAATCTAAAATGCAGACAGTCAGAAATGAAGGCAGACCATGCTAGCCTAAAGATATGTTTGAGGCAATTTGGAAACAATGTCACCATTTCATAGTTTGTCTACCGGAGAGAACCAACAAGTTTGTGTTTCAACTGGAAAATGTCGCACTCAGTAGACACTGTATTTACCACATTTAAAGGATCTTTATCAGGAATGTTTCTGTTCTGCTTTCATTCTAATGAACAAATGTTGGCTAAACTCAATATCAGTATCAAGGTCAGCCATGTCACATTACAGGTGCTATAAAAAGCAGACCTAGAGGCCATATACTTTTATCATTTTACATGTCTAACTGGAGAATTCATTCTGCAGGTGATTGAAGACTCGCCTGTAAAATCTGCAATGAAACCAGACTGTATCATGCTGCATGATGTGGGGATTATTAAAATTACCTTTCCAAAACTGATACGCCTGCCCATATTTAGGTTGGGTCTCAAGAGCAAAAGGGCAAAAAAGGCCAGGGACCACCACCACAACAACAACAACAACAAAAACCTATTTCCACCAGTCACATTATCCATGGTCCTGGTGTCATTAAATACATACGAGATCACTGAAAAATAAAAGAAGAAGCTGCCTCCAGGCAACCACAGAGTTAGTCTACAGTTTTGGAAATAACTCAGAAAGATTACACAAGATTTTCACAGGGAAGCAGACTGCAAACAGAGGATCACATTGCATAATCAGAAAGCTGTGATTGTCTAGTTTCATGAGAAAGTTGGTCATTTTTTTGTTTTTTGTAACAGTGATGATCACCTATAAGATAATTATAACAATGTTTTCATGCATTTCTGCTCTGTGATTTGTTTCAGAATGACAGCACTGTTTTTGTTTTGCACCCCCATAATAAAGTAATATGGTGCATATGATTATAGTTTGTTTTGGATACAGAATTTTCAGTTATTTAACATAACACAATATTTTTTATATTACAGTTTTGTTCACTTATTGACTGTTCTGCAGCTACACAGTTTTCTCCTGTGCTGACCAGGCGTGCATGCCCTTGCCTTCTTTATATTACGTTTGTAAAGTAAGTTAAAAAGTCAGTCCTACCATTATATGTCACTCTGGGTTTGGTTAAGCACAGGACCAGGTGAAGATCCATCTCATCTGAGGACACAAACTTGGAGCACACAGGGCACTTGAAGCCTGGAAGAAAGAAAAGAAAACACACATTGAATGAGATAATCATACACGCAGTGGATAGCTGGAAGGTGGGGTGCGAGGGAAACTCCCTGTTTGATCAGAGTTATTCTGAATCTAAAGCTGAAACACCAATAAAGCGATACTGAGTTCTCAAGTTTTGTATTGGGTGTTTTGGCACTGCATATCTAGTGATCACGTGTCCGTTTGTCCAGCACTGCAGAGGAGGTTCTCTTGTATTTCTGCCTTGCTTCAGCAGCTATTGATGCCAAATAATTCCGATATTTATTGCTGACAAACAGGATCCATAACACATCACTATCAGTGGATTTAACCAAAAAAAAAAAACCCCGTAATATTATTATACTGGATAACTACTATCAAACAATGATATTACACAAACAGCCATTTATTTAGATTACAGACAATTCACTATATCATACCCCATTTTTATGGTTGTCATTTTTACATTTCATGTATTACATTCTGCAAGTACCTTCTCTAAGTACTCTCACCCCTCATGGTGCTTGCTCATGGTGGGATTCTGCAAATAATATTAAGTCCTGCATAGACCTGCTTTATATGAAAAGTGCAATGAGATAACTTCTGTTCTGTAAAACCCTTGAAGCCCCCATGAAGCGCCACTGCAAAATATATCAGAAATAAGCTACAAAATCCCTTTTTTTTTCAAATGCAAGTATTTAATATGAAATAGCAGAGGGAACATGTGCACTGAATAGGAAGGACACCAGTTATATCGAACAGTTAAACAGATGTTGCTTTATGGCAATAGGTTAATTCACCACTATATCAGTCAGTGACTTATTTATACAAGGTCCCGATAATTATTTAAATGATGATCCAAACATTGTCCTACCTAAATCCTTCCAGTTATAGCGCTGGTTGTAATTATCCCTTTGTTCCATTTTCCATTTCTGTTTCTGTCTCAATCTCGGACACAACATTAAATCCGGCAGTTTCCAGTGACATCATGGTGCCCTTTGTCACACATTACCTTTAGCAGCCCTCATCCATCATCCACCAGCTGTTAGCGCATAGGTCTGCAGCAGGGGGCACAATGTCACATATCACTGACAGACAGAGGAGTGTAAATATATGCAATGTGTGCAGAGCTTTCTACAATGGTAAAATCTGTCCACATGCTGTGATACTGATGGGATAAATAGATTAGTGCAGCCAGAAGCAGGCTGTCCACTGCTGGTCTGACCTATTTAAGTGAAACACAACACATTCGTGTACACGTAGGACGCCATCCCTCGAGATCTCCTGGCCATCTGCTGACAATTACAAATGTGTCGTCTGTATTTATTTGAAAGGGGGATGAGGAAGAATTCCAGCTCTGCACGACTCCACAAGTCATTCTGAAAAACGCTAAAAGCCAAAGCTGAGCGCTACCTGTGGGGCCGTGATGACTCATCCAGTATCGCCCTGTATGGGATGCTATCTCCAGGAAATTAAATTGCTGTGTGTCCTCCTGCACGTCTGTCTGAGGTCGCACCTGCTCTTGGTAGCATTTTAACGCTGGCCCCTAGTATATTTAGTATAAGTACATTTCTCCTAGAATCACTCACATAGGCTGGAATATATAAACATTAATGACGTGTTATTTCTAATCCTGGACCAATGTATATCTTTGTTTCCTCTGCTTATGCTGCTGTTGTGGGATTCATATCCACGGAATTAATGGAAACAAATGGTGAATAAAGACAATAGAGTTGGGCGACGATTTTCATATCGTCTAATCATGGCTACTAGGGGGCGGTGTTACGTTGCAGCATGCCAGCAAGGAATAAATAGGTTTATTAGCTTTAAGAGAAACCATCAGAAACAAAAGTTTCCCACAGATAAGTGCGTAAATCGCTTCCTGTATGAAAAGGCCTTTACCGCGTGGTGGTGCCCCACACACGGGGGCGTGCAATAGACTATATTAGACAATATTGACTAGCAGCTATGTACGGCGTGCTAACCTTGAAAGCTCAGCTGTTTTCTAACGTTAACATAGCTATCCTTATTAGCTGGGGTCCTTACATGCATGCTTATGCTCATAACTTATTTGAAGGTGGGTCCCTGACATTGACAGCGTTATGTTAAGAAAATAATGTGCGGCAATCAGCGTTGACATTGTGACGTGTCGTGTCGCCAATAATAAATCAATGAATGCGAAACACTGCAGTGGTTGAGTTGGTTAAAATCGCCTTAATATCGGCACATGAAAAACCATCCAATCGCAGATCGGAACAAACCTAAAAGACAACAAGGTGGCATGATCTCAAACATCTGCTGCCTTGAGGCACAAATGCTATGTTATAAATTCTGAACATGTTTGGGCAATGATGCAATATGATAATTATTAAAAAGGTTTTCTTTCTCTTGAGGCAAACAAACATCTGGTGAGGGTGTTAAAACTCAAATCATCATTATGATCTGACAAAAGAATGGGCATAAAACTCTGTTAAAATAGGAAGAATAAAAAAGGAAGTGTATGACTCATGTATGACTCAAAACAGTACTTGGGATGGGACAGCCTTGATTTCCGTTAGTTCCTGAAAACATGAACCTTTGGAGATGTGCTGCACATCTTATGTCACACTGTCAGGGCTGGGTATTGTTCAAAATGTTTCCATATCGGTACTGATACCATGACTTTGATATCTGTTCCTAAATCATAATTTTATTAAATCCATGGGGGGCTGGTTGGAGCTTGCTGTGAAAGACAGATGAAAGATGGCCCTGCAGGTTAAGGGCTTAGCATGGTCCATCTGCTTTGTGACTACGTGCACACTGTCCACAACAATTAATGTATTAGTGCAATAATGCATGCCATTGACGTCCCACACTGTAAAGGGTGCTATGGACAAATTTACAGAAACCAATTTGGAAGGCTGCTGTTCAGACCTCCAAAAGCAGGACGTGACGTCTCTTTGTTAAAACATTTACAGTGGCTGCGCGTCGCAGTGCTATTTCAGGTGTGTTGTTGATTTCTTCTACTTGCTCCGTCGTTCTTCTCTTCTTTAAAACGGAATCATCTGGTGTGTTTTGGAAGGAGCTGGACGCATTGGGTCAGGTGTACTACAGACCCAAGAGCCAGTCTTTGACAAGTAGATGAGAGCAGACGGCGTAGCTGCAGATGCGTTTTTTTTTGCTGTTGTGTGCTCAAGATTGAGAAGACCAGTGCTAGAACCATGCAATGGCACTTAGGCTAGGTGCTAACAAAGCTACTCAACAACTTCTGTTACAGTAACTAAAGACAGCTGCCGAACAAGCACTAGGCCTTCAGTAAATTCTCATCACTTCGGAGAACACCCAAGTAAACGTATGCCCACTCTGGTGAAAGCCAGCTGGGAGCCAGGGATGCAAATGAGAATCTACTAGCAAGATGACCTAATACCACCTTGATGTCCTGCAAATAAGTGACTGTTAGTGGAGTGGCTCTGTGAGTGACGAGTGGTGGAACTGCTTTCCTTCGGCTATTTGCTACATGAGACGAAGAGTTATCTCAACATTAGGCCAAATAAACACTAAGTAAGTATGCCCCCACAAATGAATGGCCTCGGGTCAGTATTTAACAAGTTATAAATATCTTATTAAGCCTCATTGCAAACACCTGCCAAAGCTACAGCCTGTTGTCGACAGCGGATGCATTTGTCCTGCTATTCAAGCCAAGAGGAAATCCCAGGGGTTAACCAAGGAATTACTGGAGGGACTATGTCTCCCAGCTGGCCTGGGTGACCCTGGGAATCCCTAGCTGGAGGAATGAAGAGCTAGACTGCCCTAACGGTTAACCCCTTCTGCCTCCAAAATCACCATCGAGTCGAACAAAAACCTTTTTGACACAATGTCAAGAACTACTGAACAATGTAAAAGCTCAGATTTATCGCTGCACAATACGACAAGGCAGCTTATTTCTCAGTTATATGGGATCTTGTTTTTGCATGTATTTTTTTTTCCTGGTTTTGACCAACAGTGTCCTTACAGAGCATGTGCATGTCTTCATTCACTGAACTATTGAGTGTGATTTTGCTTTAATCTTCTTAAAACATATCAAGAAATGAACATGACATGAAAGTTAAGATCAGACTTGAGCAAATCTATCTCCACATAGCTGATATATAGAACCTGCCAGAATCCTTCTTACTTTAGGAAACTGGAGTGATCCTAAAATCAATTCTTTTCTCCCTTCATTGTATTCTCTGTGCTGACAAAGGCCAATGTGACACTCGCAGTTAACAGTCCCCTGAAAGAGCTGCAAGTGAGCCAACAGCCACAGCTTAAAAACTTCACACTCCGTGTAAGCGCAGTATCTCTGCTCCCCATCTAATCTGCTGTTTGGAGAGCATCCCAGGTTACTGTGTTCATTATCCTCTGTCCTTAACTTAGCTCTCCTCCAGCCCCTGAATCAGCACATCATGGGCTCTATTAAATGGGATTTATGAATTATAATTTTATAGATCAGTTCCCTCATCATCAACAAGCCTGGCTGCACGCCACGCCTATAGCACGGTGCATCACACACAAACACATATAAGCCTGTGCACAAACGCAGGCACTTGGAATCACTTTCTCACTTGATTTTTATTTATTTATTTTTTACAAAGCAGGCAAATTCTCAAGTTGAAAATTGTCTGGGATAAGGAGAAGATAGATCGTTCAGAGGGCAGACATCAGTCAGGTATGACCACATCAGCGCCTCTCTTTCTCTTTCCGCAGTGCTCTTCTCTGTGTGCTGAGTCTTCACTACAGAGGAAACTGATTCTTGTTTTTGTGGCAGGGCTCGGACCATTTGGCATTTTCCTGGCATTATTCCTGAAATGTGCGCAGAGCACACGGTGCACAGGGTGCAAACAGGTGGGAGGTTTATTCAAAACCGCAGAGCGAGTTCTTGGTATTTTGGTGGATACTGACGTTACACAGAGTATAGAAGTCGCAGAACTCTCCGTTTCAGGCACGTCCCTCTGCTGCCAGTCTGGTGATTTTATCGACAGCAA